TGCCATATGGAGCTGGAGAACTCTCTTGTACTGTTACAGCGACACAGTCTTGTGTCACACCCTTTGCTGATGCATTCTGTCAGAACGCATTATTTACACACTGCCATATAATTCAAGTATTTGGATAACCGTTCGGGTAAAGGACTAAACGAACAAGTCCACTTTAGATCACATAGCCTATCATCTGTATTTTTCTGCCTTTTTTTTTAAAGCAGCCAAAAAAAAGGGGGGGGAGCCATTGTACAATGCAAGGAACAAAAAAGAACACCACTGGCAAAAAGATAACGCACAAGCAAGTAAGCTTAATCCTCCTTGACTGACCATTCTGGCTTAGTATATGCCAGCTTTTGAGACTGGGTCCCATTACAGCCATGCTTGAATAAAAATTATTCGAAACGCGGCATCAGGCATCCGGATTACGCGTCGGCTTTTTATGGCTCAGAAAATTTGATGACTTGCACTCCAATTTGGACTTTGATATTGCTTCTATGTCGGAGTAGACACATGGAAAGACTGTGACTTGTTTCTATTATGATTTATTATTGCACTTTGGCCAATTCATTTATATCATACTTGTTATGTTTATTTGATTTATATTATACTTGCTGTTATGCTTATTTGATCATTGTATACTTGCTTACTTGCTTGTGCGTTATCTTTTTGCCAGTGGTGTTCTTTTTTGTTCCCTTTTTTTTTTAAAGGCCACATTAAATCAATGGCGAAGTTGGTCACTTTGAAAATCTGTCTCAAGATAACTGGGCTGGGTCCTGATCAATGTTCCCTCTAAGCTGTGGAGTCTTGTGAGCAAGAATTCTACTTTGTGAGCTCCTGGCATTAAAGTTGTGAGCCAGCGATTTGGCTGCTGCATAAATTAAGTTTGCTCTGGAGCCATCCCTCCTGAGCTAAGCCAAAAATGTGTGAGCCGGAGACCAAAAAACTGTGAGCTGGCTCACACGGACTCAGCTTAGAGGGAACACTGGTCCCAATGATACACTCAGCTAATTTATTTATTTATTTATTTATACCTTCGGCTTATATACCGCCCTGACCCCGAAGGGTCTCTGGGCGGTTTACATAGTGGTTCTAACCAACCAATTAACCTGACTAGGGCCACATTATCTACAGGGTGGTGACTGCCTACCAGCACCCCGGGCTAGTTGTCATCCGGCTTCCTTCCGCGGCTTCAGGTATTGGTGTCCTGGTGCCCTTCCTGGAGCCGATCTTCCCTGAGCAGCTTCCTCCGGCAGGTCTCGTGTGGCTCTGTGTTGGCTGCAGTTCCGGCTACTGTCCACAGGTGGCTCCGCCGTGCTGCGCCGCACGTCACCACGCTCTCCAAGGCTCCACCTCCGACGTTGCTCCACCGGGTCGCCAGGAACTGCTCCGCCGCCATCGTTGCCGTTGCCGTCGCCGAACCCTCTACCTCACAAGGAGGAGGGGTGTCCCCTGCCACCTAGGGCAGGTACCCACTTTATCTACTTGCATTTATGATGCTTTCGAACCGCTGGGTGGACGGGAAGACACCTTCCCCACAGCCCACTGGTCTCCCTGAAATGCTGCTGCTGGGAGACAGGGGACCTCCAGGAACAGCAGGAGGACTGCACTGCAACGGGGGACCTGGCAAAAAGTTACCCCCCCCCCTTGGGCAGAAGTTATTGTTGGGATCCAACCAACCATCACACCGGTCAAGACTTTGCATTTTCTTATTCCTACCTCCAGTTTTCTGTCCCGCAAAGTATTTTTCCCCCTAAAACCCCTGGCTTTTTATCCATCCATTGCCAATTTCGATCGCCATGAATGAAAACGTAAACAGCCAAACTTTGTCTTAACAACCATTAAGGCATTTGGCACGTAGGGCTTCGGATAGAACTTTTTTACACACAGTTTTACGTACCTGTGCTTTTATACAGCATCCCTGTCATGGTCCCAGCAGCCACTGTGTTCAGATCATCTTCCGCGCCTCGCGTCTTCTCTATGACGACTCCAAATGCGCTGTACAGCAGTGCTGGAATGGAAGTCACATTGCCAGTCCAACAAAATGAAATAAATCACAATAAGTACAATTTGGGCACACAGACCCAAAAAGATTCTGCTCTCAAAATTATCTGCTTTCGAAGGGAATCAGACTTGAAATGACCCACTCCGCTAGCTGCCTACAGAGAATAAGAACTGTGATGATCGGGCAGGGAGATTTGTACAAGATTTTTAAAAGAGTCAATACTTTCCCCCGTCTTGTAGTCTAAAAATGACTAACGTGGATATGGGAAGACAGGGGTCTATTAAGGTATTTGCAAGGCTAAATTAGGCTAGCAGGAAGTTCAGGATGCGAAGTTTTTCTAATTTGGGGGTCCTAAAATAAGGATGCCACAAGTGCTCCAACATGACCCCCCCCTTTAAGATAGTACTACATTTGAAGGCAATGAACACTCTGAGGCTGCGGTCACACACGCTAAGTAATCCACTTTCAGTGCACTTTCCGACTGGATTTTTACTGTATGAACTGGCAAAATCCAGTTGGAAAGTGCATTGAAAGTGGACGGAAAGTGGGTTATTTAGTCTGTGTGACCAGAGCTACTGAGTCTGTGCCCAGACTCCCTTCACCTGCTGATGCCACGTCCTCATTTCAGACAAGAGTAGAGGGTTTGCACAGATCAGGTCATCAATGGCAACTGTCTCTCCCCCCAGACACCCAGCACGGAACCCAACGCACAACTCCTTCGTGCACTGTGGACAACTTGGAGGCAAGGGAATTCTTGTCCAAAGTGAAAAAAGCAATCCTGATCTCTAACTCATCCAGAGAAAATACAGGGAAAGACTGTTCTCTTACATTACACTGGGCTTTGGAGAAGGCAGAACCAGAATCAGACCATGCACTCAAGGACAAACAGAAACACAGACTCAGAGTTGGAAGGGACCTCCAGGGTCATCTAGTCCAACTCCCTGCACAATGCAGGAAATCCACAAATACCTCCCCCCCAGACCCCCAGTGACCGCTGTTCCACGCCCAGAAGATGACAAAAAACCTCCAGGATCTCCAGCCAAACTGGCCTGGAGAAAAAACTGCTTCCTGACCCCCAAAGTTGGAATCAGCATTTCCCTGGGCGTGTAAGAAAGTGCCATGAGAACAAAGCACTGATGCAACTCTTCCTGCCTTCCCTCTCGTGATCTGCCTAAGTTCACATCATGTGCTACATAGCAAACCTGTTTTAAAACTGAAGAGTAATTCAAAAGCATTTTGGCATGGGGTCTGCTGTTCATTCTCTCCGAAGTGTTTTTTTTTTAAAATTCACTGGACAATCTGGATGCCCGGCAATCAGAATCTTGACGTTTTTACAGCACAATTCAGCTCAATGATACTCCTCGTCCTCAATGATGTAGCACTGTGACATTGCAACGGCCCAAACCTGACGTGCATTGTTACGTAGCAGAGTTCTTAGACAAGGGAAATCTTTTAAAAGACATCACATCAGAAGTGATCGGATCTCAAGTTGCGAGTTCCTGTGGAGATCCCTCTTGCTACCAATTATTTTTTTGGGGGAAATGATAAATAGGCACCTCTAAAAACAAACAAACCAAAAAAGCTGGTGGAAAACAAAGGAATTCTATGTGCTGTAGCTGAACAGGGGTATTTCCACAGCTGTTAATATAAAGACAAATGGACGCAAGCAGTTGATGACTGGAGCACTGTGTAAAGGGGTGTGGCTCAATACCGGCTATGAGAAGATAAGGGCTGAAAGTGGGCAAAGGCAAAAATGATAGTTGGCAATGGCGAGGAATTCAGTAAAGGTAAAGGTTCCCTTGCTCGAAAGCCAGTCGAGTCCGACTCTAGGGTTGCGGCGCTCATCTCCATTTCAAAGCCGAAGAGCCAGTGCTGTCCAAAGACATTTCCGTGGTCATGTGGCTGGCATGACTAAACACCAAGGCGCACGGAACGCTGTTACCTTCCCCCCAAAGTGGTACCTATTTATCTACTTGCAATTTCTTGCTTTCGAACTGCTAGGTTGGCAGGAGCTGGAAGTAGAGATGGGAGCTCACTCCATCATGCGGCACCCGGGTCTCAAACTGCTGAACTACTGACCTTCCACAGCCTGCAGTTCAGCGTCTTAACCACTTGAGCCACCGCAGCTCAGTGGGAAACACTAAAAGAGACCCGGCACCACCACACGTGTAGATGAGAGGATCTGCTTTTCAGTAACCCAATGCTTATTCTTTCAAGATGAAAGGGGATTTAAACGGGGATGCAAAAAAAGGATCAGCCCTGTAATGTCGGAAAAGGCAGTAAGCATAGGTCCAATATCACCCTGGGTACTCCTGATGTGTAGTTAGGGATTCTCCAAATGGCAGAGACAAACAGTAGCACTGCGTTTTCTGAAGGAAAACAAAAATCTCCCTGAGCCTGTCGTGTCATTCATGAATCCAAGGATCAATTTTAACTGGGCTGGTCAATTGGACAGAGAATACAAATATGCATGACAAATACGAATGAAGTGGAACTGAACACTTTAAAATGATCAGGAATATTAAAACACTAATATTATTCTGCTCTACTGTCCAAGAGTGCTAAATTGTAGATCCAAAAGAAGTGACCTGCACTGTTTGCAAATAATGAACAGAGGAGTCATCATGTTGGAGCCAATATGACAGGTAAAAAATGAGCATACAAAATTTCGGATAATTTATATTGCTATTGTAAAGGTACCGAGAAATACAAAACAGTCCATTGTTTTAATTCTATCATATCTTGTTTCAATAAAACACTTGTTTTGTACTGAAAACAGTGATAGCTCAGTGTGTCTTTTTATCAGGGCGCCTCTCTTCCCCCAAAGCACCAGATTTCTAACACGCCTTTCACCAAACTGCATCAAGTTCTCTCGCACAGTTCGCAAACTTGCCACTAAAGACAGGTCAGGGTAAAGAACTGGAACAAACAGGGCAAGGGTACTCAAGAAAACAAACACAGCTGCAAAGCATCTGTTCATGTGTCACTTGGAACATTGGAATCTTGAACTTTTGAGACGTTTGAGCTCAAGCGGCAACATTTTCCATGTGAGGTGCTAAACTAAAATGTCTTTCCAAAAAGACTAAAAATGTCTTTCCAAAAAGCTTTTAAAAAGGCAGGTAATGATCTCTCAGGCCTCTGAATCTCATTTCAAAGGCTTGGTGAGAGAGTCAGTTGTCAGGTCTTCAAGATAGTTTACGTTCTGCAATGCAGTCCATTGGGGCTGTCAAAAACAAACCACTAGACAGAACTTCCATCTTAAATTTTTCAGACTTCCAGATTTATGGAGAAGTTAAGCTTAGTTTACTCTAGGTGACCTTGACTACTGTAGGTGACCTTGACTGTACTGTAGTCCACAGCTCTGGACTACAAAATAAGCTTACTTACCTAGAGATCCAAGAGTATTGGCCCATAATGCCCCTTGCCTGGTCACCATGTTTAAAATCCTGCAAGTAATATGAGAGAGAGAGAATGAATGCACTCAGTGAAGTACAATTTGCAGGTCTAAAAGCACCACATACAATTGTGTTATTTAATACTTTTTATTATAGAGCTTATTTTTTGTATTTTTTGTATTATTTTTTTGCCCAAGGTCATCCAGCAGGTACAAGTGGAGGAGTGGGGAATCAAACCTGGTTCTCCCAGATTAGAGTCCACGTACTTAACCACTACACCAAACTCAAGAAGAGAGAAACTAGATCCAAACATATTTTTCCAGTACTACCTACTCATTCTAGTGCCATGAAAATGTTTCATCCAGCAAAAGCATACACAATACAATACAGAACCTTTATTGGCATATAAAATCAGTAAGATAAAAATTTTGTCAAGCTAAAATTACATCTATAAATCTTAGAGCACACCAATATTAAGAATAGTTGCTTGCTACCAAAATCTTAAGACAAAAATCCAGCAATCTGTACAGTCACTTCTGGAGTCTTATCAGCAAGGAGAAACCTGATTGCATTATCAGAATTGATCCTAGACAGTAAGGGCTTCATCAAAAATAGTCGGAGATTGTGAATGGAAAGGGCAGCGTAGCAGAATATGATCTAAGGTATCGGGTTCTCTAAGTGAGCATTTGCAGATTCTGTCGCATTTCAGGATGCCTCTATATCTACCTGAGACCCAGGATGAGGGGAAAACATAGAATCTGGTCAGCTGTGAGACGTCAGAATAATCCCCCAAAATCTCTGAGGCTCTGGAAGTTAATAGGAGGGTATGTTGCCCTCCCTCCGAGGAGGCTCATCAGCCAAGGGAAGATAAGCAATGAGCATACACGAAACAATGTGTGCCACTACTTTTCCCCAAAGATTCCCCCCCCCCCCATTTTTTGCAACAGAAAATTTGAGAAATGATGGGGAGAAGGGGGGGGGACAATGTGTATGAAAGCAAATGCTTCTTAAGGAAAAGTTTTCCACACTTAAAATATACAGTATGGAAAAAGTCCTTAGACTTTTAAAAAAATTTCAAATGGAAAAAAAAATAGAGGGAGGAAAACTGAAAAAATATGCGTTTTGCCTTTTGGAATGAGTGACATGAAAGACTCAAAAGGGTTGCATAAGTTTTTTTTAATGTAAGACAATCTACAGTGTTAGATAAAGAATGAAAACTTTTGTAGAAAAAGCCCAGCAGGACCTCATTAGCATAATAGGCCACACCCAAAACCAGAAATTAATTAGCATACTGGCCACACCCCTGACATCACAACTCATTAGCATAATAGACCACACCCCATGTCACCACACCCACCTTTTGCTTCTCATTCTGTTTACTTTGTTGTCAAAACCCTGGGCTTTTTTTTGTAGCAGGAACTTCTTTGCATATTAGGCCACACACCCCTAATGTAGCCAATCCTAATGGGTTCCTGCTGTTGGGTGTGGCTTATTATGCTAATGAGTGCCTGCTGGGCGTGGTCAACTCAGAAGCCAGCCGGAACTCCGTTCCTGTGCGTTCCTGCCCAAAAATAGCCCTGGATAAAGATAATTCCTATGTGTACTGTAGAACAGATGGTACACTGTGTACGCTGTAGAACACACATCTGGGAACACACGCTAGGAATAATTTATTCTTACACTTTCCCCAACTTTCCTATTTTCAAAAAAATGGGGCTGTGGTGGCTCAGAGGTTAAGACACTGAGCTGGAGACCTGAAGGTCTGTAAAGACCCGGGTGCCACATGACGGAGTGCGCTCCTGTCTCTGGCCCCAGCTCCTGCCAACCTAGCAGTTCGAAAGGAAGAAACTGCAAGTAGATTAATAGGTACCGCTCCGGTGGGAAGGAAACAGCGTTCTAAGGTTTTTACTGGCTCATAACCAGCTAGGATAGTATCAGGAATTTTTCTATTTGTCTTTTAAATTGTTATGTACTGGTTGAAGACTGTAATAATAAACTGACCGACTGTAACAGCGCTCCGTGCGCCTCGGCATTTAGTCATGCCAGTCACATAACCACTGAAACGTCTTTGGACAGCGCTGGCTCTTCAGCTTGGAAACACAGATGAGCACCGCCCCCTAGAGTTGGATTCGACTAGCTTTCGAGCAAGGAAAACCTTTACCTTTTTATTTTCAAGAAAACCACTATAAGGTCTTGCTGTTGAATATATTTCCAAATGATCATAAAAACGAAAATAGGTATTTGACTGTTTATATGACGACAGCTGCAAGAATCTTATATGCCAAATATTGGAAAACTATGGTGATACCAACGAAACAGGAGTTTGTGAATAAACTTTTTGAAACAGCAGAAAATGATAAACTGACTCTAGAAATGAGATTAAGTAAAGAGTGGACATTTCAAAAAACATGGGAAACGTTTTATGATTGGTATAATGCCAATGTAGTAGAAGATTAGGCAAGGATAGCGCAATGGACTTGAGAACACAGAAGATAGAAGAATGGAAAGTGTTTGATATAGCGTTTTTATTAAGTAATTGCATATAAGCATATAATGTAACTGTACTCTTGGTATATACGTTATGTGTAGTAGAGTGTCTGTCTGTAGTGTGTAGATTTGTTTGTTGTAGATTATAAAAAATTAATAAAAGTGTACCTATGGGTACTTAAAAAAAGAAGAAGAAAACCACTATAAGGAATTGTTATATTTGAATTATAAAACACTTTTTATTCAGCTCTTAAAAATACTGTTGCTGTTTTATTCTTAGAGCATCTGAGACATGGATGTACCGAAAACATCCAGTTTCCAACTTAGAATGAAAACATTCGATTGGAATGACTGAATCACGCGACCTTCAGTGTGTCTTCCCTGGTAGAGGAGGAAAAATAAGGCAGGGATTAATATCATTCTGCTGCCATCTGCTGGTTGAAAAGACTTCATGTTTGTCACTGCATCCACACAAAATCTTTAATTTGTCAACCAATAGCCAAGCAGTTCAGTTTCCTACCAGAATCAAATCCATAATCACACTCGGACACTCCCAGCAAGCGAGAACACAAGGGAATCCAGCAATATGAGGCTAAATATTTCAGATACTGAGGCTAAATATTTGAAAAATAGACCAAAAATGAGCAAATATTGATGAGGGGATTTTACAGGGTGTTCATCTGAATTATGTACTTACTGTACATTTCTAGGTTTAGACCAAGCCATGCTTTGTGTATCCTTCAAACCCAGCCGCAGGCCATTCAGTGCCCCGAATGCAGCTCCTGTTAAGGAAGAACATCAAGGAATTAGTAGCCGCAGCGCGTGAGAACTGAACCCTACATAATGGTTAAATTCAGGGCTATTTTTGGGCAGGAACGCACAGGAACGGCGTTCCAGCTGGCTCCCGAGCTGGCCACGCCCAGCAGGAACTCATTAGCATAATAGGCTACACCCAACACCAGAAACTCATTAGGATTGGCTACATTAGGGGTGTGTGGCCTAACATGCAAAGGAGTTCCTGCTACAAAAAAGCCCTGGGTTTTGACAACAAACAAGGTAAACAGAATAAGAAGGGAAAGGTGGGTGTAGCTGGATGACCACACTTCTGGTAAAATGGGGGTGCAGCCTAATATTCTAATGAGCTGTGCTGTCAGGGTTGTGGCCTAATATGCTAATGAGTTCCTGCTGTTGGGTGTGGCCTATTATGCTAATGAGTTCCTGCTGGGCTTTTTCTACCAAAAGAGCCCTGGTTAAATTACTGTGAACACAAACAGGGAATCTACAGATAAAATACTGTAAGAACAGCAGCTTTTCAGTTTCTACTGTAGCAGGCCGACTGTGTCGTTAGATTTCTGTTATATCGGAGAAACGGCAATGAAATCCCACAGGCAAAGAGCGTGGGTGAATGGGGGCTTCCGCTGACTGCACTCTGGTCCACGCTCCCCACGCTCCCCCTCCCCATCTGCATATTCATTTCTCTGTACTGTGTTCGCCTTAACACTGATCAGAAACAGCGCGGGCTATCAGGAAATATTCAGTAGCATTTATGTGTTGTAAAACTGCCAGCTGATAAGAGCATGTATTCTTAGCAATGAACCCATGCTGTAAGTTGAAGTCATCAGGGACCGCCATGTGTGTATGCTTCCCTTCTAGTGCTAAACAGGATGTCAGCTGTTCAGCACACTCTCAAGAGAAGCACAATACCGCCACATGCTGTTCTCCACTGTCTCCAGAACGGGGACAACGGCAGACAGGTTGAATAGACAGTATCTTACTTTCCCAGCAGTGTAACACTGTTACTGACATGGTACTGAGGCAGACAGCTGACTACCGCTGGGATTTAGGGACAAACAATACAGTTAATCGCCTGCTCCCGAATTATGAAGCGAATGGTTCACTGTTCACTCTTAGCTGCGAACACACTTCGTTACTGTACAACGATTCGGTCTGGAAATAATGAACGTGGCTTCAAAAGAGAGGGATAAAATCGTTACGCTACCAAAAAACTTAAAGGAGAGGAAGGAACGCTAATTTAAATAAATCAGGCAAGGTGGGGGAAGGAAGAGAAGTCAGTCCAGAGCAGGGCCCCCGCACCTTTTCCGGTCTGTGGGCACATCTGGGATTCTGACATGGCATGGTGGGCCCAGCAACAAAATGGCTGCCACAGGAATCAGAGCCAGCCACGTGTTACATCAGTAACACGATGTAGATCCTTGTGCTGTAGCGGCAGCTGCTGCCAAAAAAAAGTCTGCACAGCCAATCAAATCTCCAAAAATCAATCAAAAGTCACGGTAAATTGTTTATGGTTTATAGGTTCACTTTGTTTTTCACATTGTTAGATATGCTATTGAATGCCTATTGATAGTTCAGAGGGCAGAAGGCACTTTATTGAGTTAATGACAGCGAACAGAACAGGCTTTAATTAGAATACATTGTAAAAACAAGGTATTTTGTTCCAAAGTTTATTGAATTATACATCATTTTTCAATGCTTACATTTTTTATTCATATTGTACCGGTTAATATGTTTAACTGTTCTTTAGTTCATTATGGACTTGGCTAATGTTATAAAAATGTGATTGTTATGTTTTCTTAATACTACTGTATTATACCAATAAAATGTTATTGGAAAAGTCTTGCTGGGCAAAAAGCCCCACCTGGCCCCACCCACTTCCCTTGGTGGGCACCAGAAAAAGGTGTTGGCAGGTGACATGGCCCCCCCACGGACACCATACTGGGGACTCCCTGGCCGAGATCACAGACCCGGTTACCAGCGTTCCCTCCACGCTGAGTCAGTGTGAGCTAGCTCACAGTTTTTTAGCTTCCAGCTCAGATGGATGGCTCCAGAGCAAACTAATTTATGCAGCAGCCAAATCGCTCGCTCACAACTTTAATGCCAGCAGCTCACAAAGTAGAATTTTTGCTCACAAGACTCCACAGCTTAGAGCAGGGGTGTCGAACTCATTTGTTATGAGGGCCGGATCTGACATAAATGAGACCTTGTTGGGCCGGGCCATGTGGGTCATGAAATGTAATGCCAGGTAGCGGAGATATAAACTTTATAAAAGGACACAAACACAAAGGGTTTTTTTTTACTTGAAATAAAATTATGCTTAAAACATTAGCACTCTTGCAATATTTTGTTTATTTAACAGTGTCTGGTAACTGACACCTCTTTCTCTGAATTATTGCATCAAAATGTCTGTGCTGTTGCAATCTTGAGCAGGCTGTTCAGGTGTGTATCTGTAGGCTGCAAACTTACCACAGCAGCAGCAGAACTGGAAGAAGCAGCAGAAGACAGCCAGTTCCACTGCAGGCCTGATAGAAGCCCCCTGGGGGCCTCATCCGGCTCCCGGACCACATGTTTGACACCCCTGGCTTAGAGGGATCATTGCCGGTTACCAATGCATCTGGGTACCAGTTACTTGCATGCTGCATATGACTCAGTTCAGTACTGTTACAACAGACCAATACACCCACCCCTTTAGGAGGAAGGCATGTAAATTCGTATTTGCTTGCTTTAGGCACAAAATGTATCTCTGAAGTGCTCGTTTTAGTCTTAAACGATTCTTTCCCACAAACTAGTTCCAAACTGATAATACATTGTATTTGGCAATATATATTATTTTTAATAATTTTAACAGCGTCAAATGTAATGGTAAATAAACGCCCTATACCTGTCATGCAACATCCACCAATGGTAAAGAATGCCAGCTCAAATCTTCCCCTAGTTTTGCTAGCTCCAGTGGGTAAAATAAATTCATCTGTGTCCTAAAAGAGAGAAACAAAATCCCAGTATTATATAGTTGCGTGTGAATCCATTCAGCTTATCATCAACATTTCACATCCATTTACCCTAGGTTGGCATTTACATTGAAAGGTCAATAAAAAAAACAAAGAAAAAAAATTCAGCGGCCCTTAGCCACATTTTAGAGATTCAAATGAAAGACTAGCTGAACTGTACATGTTCATTTGGTGAAAAGGGTTCTTTTGCAGGTAGCAGTTTATTTCAGCGGTGACTGAGCATTTCCACGAATGCAACAGCACCTTACAAGAGCATCTTGTGTCAGGAGGAGAACAAAGTTTGAGTCCAGTGGCACATTTAAGACCAATCCAGTTTTATTCAAGGTATAATCTTTTGTGTGCACACACACGTCTTCAAATACAACGAAATGGAAATTACCAGTCCATACATACAGGTAGAGGGTGAACCGTAAATTAGCCTACAGCATAATGAAGATGCTTAACAGATGCAAGGACCAAACAGGAATAATAAGATTAGTTTATATGGTTACCCTTTGTTTGGGTTTAATTTCAGAGGAAAACATAGTGAAATATTCTGTTGTGGCAGAAGGGTCCTGGTGCCAGAATAAAGTGCAGATGCTGATGGGACAAAATGGTAGGATCCAACCTGTATTTCACATCAAATGAGAAGTCTGTGATTATAATGAGCCATCAACTTTGTTTAATGGTACATATTGTCTTCTGCACAGATTATTAACAATGTACAATGGTGGCTTTAGAAATGAAGTATGCTAGTTAAGATTGAGGCAAACACTGTTCCATTTTCATGTTTATATATACACACACACACACACACACACACACACACATGCAACAGTTGCTACATGCTGCCCATGGGTGTATGCTTCCAGACTAGCGCTGAGCAGGATGTTGACTGCTCAGCACACTCTCAGAGAAGCACAGTACTGCCCCATACTGGTGTCAGATGCCTCCAGAACAAAGACAGTGACAGCCAGGTAAAATGGACAGTACTTTCATCTCCCAGTAGTGTAACACTGTCAGAGACATGGTACTGACACAGACAGCTGACTACCACTGGCATTTAGAAAGAAATTATAATCAGTGGCCTCTACATCATCAAGCTAGGGACAGGTCATAGTTAGCTTCAGAACATGACAATCTCTCTGCTTGTGCTTAACTTCCAGTAGAGAGTGCCGAAGGCTGTTGTTGAAGACACGGGGCCATGCATGGTGGTGGGTCTTTAAGTGCTGTCACGGAAAGGGCTGAAGGAAGCCTTAGAGGCACTCTCGAGCAAAAGTTGCCTGTTTGGGATCCAGGGACAGCCCCTCCCTTATGCTGGAAGGTGGTACAGCTCCCTCTACATGTGCTACACAAGGATGTCTCACGCCAATTATATATATTATTTTTGAAATGGTATCCTCGTTGGGAGATCTTTAAAGTGTCTCATGATGAGAGTGATAGATAGAAATTAAGATGTGGCAAATAAGAGGTATATTCCAGCTGATTGTGTGTGTTAAAAAAATGGAAGGAAATTACTAAAGGTGATTTTGATATATGGACAAGAATAAGGAATGATGGAAGGAAAATAGACATACAAATGGATAAATTTATTGATTAAAATAAATGAGGAGGACTGTGAGTGAGGCAATGTGAAAGGTTTGGTTAACATAAGAATGGGAAGAAGTTAAAATAAGAGTCTGTTTAACCAAATTGTTAATGTGGTGTATTGTGAAGAATTTCTGTGGTGATTTATGTATGTGTGTCCATTAAGCATAAAATCCAATAAATATATAATAATAATTGTCTCACACCAATGCTAATGTATTGATTGTTCCCAGCTCTTGAAAACTTTATTATCTCCACACAATTCTTCTATTGCACAAGCATTCATAAAATGTTTGTTTCAATCATTGTTTGGAGAAGTAATTTACTGAAGGAGCAATCCTTTTCTCCCCAATATCCTGGGAAGTCCACAAGCGGGTATGAGGGCAATAGCTTCCCACCTAGGCAATTGGCATTCAGGGGCATAGTGTCTCCGAATGTGTTTCATGGAGCAGCCACAGCGAACAACAATTAAATCTGTTGTCCTTTTAAGGCCATGTAATTTAAGGTAGGAGCTGCGGTGGCTCAAGTGGTTAAGATGCTGAACTGCAGGCTGTGGAAGGTCGGTAGTTCAGCAGTTCGAGACCCGAGTGTGCCGCATGACAGAGTGAGCTCCCGTCTCTGGCCCCAGCTCCTGCCAACCTAGCCGTTCAAAAGGAAGAAATTGCAAGTAGATAAATAGGTACCACTTCGGTGGGCAGGTAACAGTGTTCCGGGCGCCTCGGCGTCTAGTCATGCTGGCCACATGACCACGGAAACGTCTTTGGACAGCGCTGGCTCTTCAGATTTGAAACGGAGATGAGCACCGCAACCCTAGAGTCGGACTCGACTGGCTTTCGAGCAAGGGAACATTTACCTTTAATTTAGAGTACACCAAGAAACTTCATGGCAGAAAATTTCCTGAGGCACACGTACACTGCAAAGCGCCAGCATTACGAAAACAGACCTCTCTCTGTCCACATTCACAACTGCATTTTGTAAACCTCTATCACGGCCCATCTCAATGGTGTCTTTTCTTAACCCATCATGCTAAACATGTCAGCCCTTTTTCACAGTGAAAGTGCTTCAGTTCTTCAATTATTTTGTACTAATTTTGGTGTCTGGTGTAGTGGTTAAGCGCGCAGACTCTAATATGGGTTTGATTCCCCACTCCTCCACATGCAGCTGTTGGTGTGACCATGGGTCAGTCAGTTCTCTCTGAGCTGTTCTGGAATGAGCTCTCTCAGCCCCAACTACCTCACAAGGTGTCTGTTGTGGGGAGGGGAAGGAATGTGTAAGCCGCTCTGAGAGTCCAAGTGAAGGGTGGGTATAAAACCAATCTCCTCTTCTTTGTTTTGCTTCTATAATATCCCCCTTGAGGTGGAGTGATCAGAACTAAACGAAACCATATTGTGGATTTATATAAAGGCAGTTTAAGTTTAGGGCCGTGGTGGCTCAGAGGTTAAGATGCTGAGCTGCAGACCAGAAGGTCGGTAGCTCGGCAGTTCGAGACCCGAGTGCCGCATGATAGAATGAGCTCCCGTCTCAGGCCCCAGCTCCTGCCAACTTAGCAATTCAGAAGCAAGGAATTGCAAGTAGATAAATAGGTACTGCTTCAGTGGGAAGGTAACAGTGTTCCGTGCGCCTCGGCATTTATTCATGTCGGCCACATGGCCATAGAAAAAGTCTTCGGACAGCGCTAGCTCTTCAGCTTGGAAATGGAGATGAGCACCGTACCCTAGAGTTGGATTCGACTGGCTTTTTTTTTAACCTTTTATCAATTGGATTCGAGCAAGGGAAACCTCTACCTTCTAATTATTGAAGTTAGATCCCACTTTCAATCTCTCTCTTTTTTAATTAATCCACAACACAGAATTTTTCATTTTTGATAGCCATCACAGAGTTAAGATTTTCACCAGTATATCTAACACAGCTCCTACATCACCCAGCACAGTTTCCTGCGTATGTAACTTCTACTTACAAACTTTACACAACTTACAAATTAGTAAGCATCTTAATACCTGTCAGCAACATCTGGAGTTTAGCACAACTGAATAGACATGTATATCTTACCTGTATAAGGTATCTGGGGTCGACATTTAAATACGGAGACAGAGGGCTCATTCCGGTCACTGAAAGGGGGAAGGGGAAACGGGATAATTTGTACCTATTCTCTCAATCTGAAAACAGGCAAGAACAGGCCCTTCATGCATCTATTCTATCTTAACTACCATGTGACGTACAGCCATTTTATAAACAAAACTAACCACTGGAATCCCTCCAACATCTGGCTACCCAATTACCTAAAGTTCTTTTGATGTTCTAGAATTTAATTTCAGGAATTAAAACAGCTTTTTAACAGTTATCGGCAAACTTCGCACATGCTCAGAAGTCTTTAGAGATCAAGTCCTAACCCCTAGTTAACCTTGGGTTCAAACTAGGCCTCAAATTTCTTCAGTGGAGGCGGAAAGCAGTGTACCCTCTAAGCTGAGTCAATGTGAGCCAGCTCACAGTTTTTTTGCCTCCAGCTCACACATTTTTGTCTTAGCTCAGGAAGGGATGGCTGCAGAGCAAACTAGTTTATGCAGAAGCCAAATCGCACGCTCACAACTTTGAGAGCCAGTTTGGTGTCTAGTTTATGCGGAAGCCAAATCGCAGGCTCACAACTTTAACGCCAGTAGCCCACAAAGTAGAATTTTTGCTCACAAGGCTCCACGGGGAGCATTGGTGGAAAGTGCTGTTAAGTCACAGCCAACTTATGGTGACCCCTTAGGGTTTTCAAGGCAAGATATGTTCAGAGGTGGTTTGCCATTGTCTGCCTCTCTGTCACACCCCTGGTATTCTTTGGAGGTGTCCCCCCCAAATACTAGCTAGGGCCGACCCTGTCTAACTTCCAAGATCTGATGAGATCAGGCTAGCCTGGGGAACCCATACAGGGCTCCGTTTCTCTAACACTACATATAACAGTGTTATATCCTTGTACTGTATTTAACTAATGCAGAAGTTCTACCACGTTCTAACTCTGTGTTACTGTTACTCTCTTTTTTTTTAATTCTGCCCTTTCACCAGGGAGTCCGTAACAGACTCCTGCCACCCCCCCCTTTCAACCTCACAACACAAGTAACCGTTATGGCAATAACTGCCACAAGGTTATTTTAATGGCTGACCACAAATTCTAACCCAGTCCTCCCTGCCTGGAAGCCTATTACACATCCCCTCTCACTTCATCTGAAGAGGAGACGAGAAGAGCTCTTAAAATAAATATACTGCAGTTAGTTTTCAACCACCCCAGTTCTATCACTGGTGATGTTCAGAATCAGCATCCAACCTTTCTCTCTTGCTCTTTATGACAGGCCTGTTGGGGGGGGGGGGGGAGGGGAGGTGGTTCTGCAGGTATGAGGGACCCAGGCTCTGACAGGCTTTGTATGTGATGGCCAATCACTTCACTTAAGCCCGATAAGAACACCAGTTCAAGCAGGGTCACCCACTAGGGTTTAACTGAGCAAACTTTCAGAAGGACTTTTCTCTTCCAGTACAATGAAATATTAGGTCAGACTTCAGATCTTGTGTCGGTAGAACACTTATCAGAACTACGGCTTGCCCAAGGTCATCCAGCCAGGTGCAAGTGGAGGAGTGGGGAATCAAACCCGGTTCTCCCGGATTAGAGTCCCCGCACTTAACCACTACACCAAACTGGCTCTTGCACCCTTAAGTGCAAACTGGCTCTCGCAACCCTTAAGTGCAAACTGGCTCTCGCAACACTTAAGTGCAAACTGGCTCTCGCAACACTTAAGTGCTCACACCTCAGGAAGGAGAAACGACTGAGCTGCTTCCAAAAGGGGAGTTAAGTGACCTTGAAAAAGGCGGCTGGAAGGCCCATGGGGCCCTGACGTCTCCTCCCTGGGGTTCCCAACTCCAGCTATTCATGGAGATTTAGGGGCAGAGGCCTGGGGAGAGGAGGGAGCCACGCAGTCCCATCTTCCCAGCTGCCATTTCTTCCAAGGGAACTGATCTTTGTAGCAGGAAAAATCGGTTTCAGAAGGCAGCCGTGCCGGTCTGCCGGAGCAGAGCAAAACCCGAGTCCGGGGGCGCCACGTTGGAGGCCCACGAGGGCGGCCGAGCACGAGCCAGTGTTCCCCCTAAGCCGAGTTGGTGTGAGCTAGCTCACAGTTTTTTAGCCTCCAGCTCACACACTTTTGGCATAGCTCAGGAAGGGTGGCTCCAGAGCAAACTAACTAGCCAAATCGCACGCTCACAACTTTAATTGCCAGCAGCCCACAAAGTAGAATCTTTGCTCACAAGACTCCAGAGCTTAGAGGGGACACTGGCCACGAGCCCCCCCCCCCCCCCCGAGAGCCCCACCCCCCCGAGAGACTCAGCGCTCCCTTGCGCCAGGCACGAGTAGAAGCGGAGGATCTATCCACCGCTTCGAACTCCTGCCTGGCGGAGGGAGCCCTGGGAGAGCCCACGTGCCCCTGGAACTCCCGTCGGTCTCCAGGCCCCACCTGGAAGCTGGCAACCCTGCCCCCACCTTGACTCCTTTTGGGGGAGGGGGGACGCTTCCGCTTCCGGCCTCGTTTTCGCACCCCTCCCCTCCCCTCCCCGCGGAGAAACACCGCCAGGCCCCGCGGGGCGACACTCACGGGGCACTCCGGCCAGGTCCGCGTGGGAGTAGCCCGGCCCGCCGACTCCTCCCCCGACGCCGAAGAGGCCTCCGAGGCCGGAGCCCTTCGAATTCCCGCCCGCCGCGGCGGCGGCCCCCTCCATGGCGGAGCCCCTCGTTCGCCCTGCCCTTCCCTCGGCGTCCGGCTCCCTCCTCACGCGGGCCGGAAACTGCCGTAAAGCGCGACCGTCGCCCCTCACGCGGGCCGCGAGCTGGGAAGCGCGCGACGACTTCCTTCCCTTCGCCTCTTCCGCTTTCGCGACGCCGCCGGTGCTGCTTTCCGGCTCGGCGGGGGAAGACGGAAGCGGAAACAGATGGGAGGGCCTGCCGAGGCCGGCCCTGTTGCTGCCTGGAAGGGGGTGGGACGCCGCCTGAGGGAAGGAAGGGGAGGAGGAGGGGGGGCTCGTGCCGTCCCCGGGCGGGAAAATTTGGGGCCGGGCCCGCTTTGCCTTTCCCCGGGCCAGGGAGGATGTGGCGGCGAAGTCTCCCGGGGGTCCTGCCTCTGCCTCCTCCTGGTGACCCTCGGCTGGCCCTGCCTTCTCCTCCTCCTCTCGCCCTAGATAATTGAGGGGTGTGTGTGTGTGTGTGTGTTGAGGTAAATAAGGGGCGGGGTGGGGCTGGGCTGCTGCTGCACACCAAGCATGAGGGCGGGGCCTGAGGGGGGCAGCCTCAGGAAAAGAATTCGGCTGGACCCCCTTCTCGCCGCCTCCGCCGAAGCCAGCGCCGGGAGCCCGGAGGAAGGACAGCCCCCTTCCTGGGATAGGAAAGTGACACAGCAGCAGCCTCCTCCTCCTCCTCCTCTTTTGCCTCCTCCCCCCAGCAGGGAGCGAGGGCCCAGAAGCAGCAGCAGCAGCAGCAAAGGCAGCCCCGCAGTCACGGTGGGGAACAAAGGTCCGTGCAAAAAAAAAAACCCAACCAAATTTTAGTTGATGGGATAAGAGTGAAAAACTTGGGAAACTCCGTTTTATGATTCTATAATTATCTCGGATTTTTAGCTGATTGTGTCATTTACTGTCTCTGATTTTAGTGTTGTATATGCCATTAAAGGTCTATTGATTGATTGATTGAAAAAAAACCCAAAATAGCACCGTGTGTGTGGGGGGGGAGGCTGCTTGGCTCTTCTGGGGGGTGGGGGAGCATGTGTGAGGAAGCACCCCCCCCCTTTTAAAGTCCACCTTTTGTTGTTGCGATGGCACAGCCCCGGACGCCTGGTGCTGACGCCGGAGAAGCGGCTCCTTCCTGAGTTCCGAATCCTCTCCAGATACTTGGCTGTAAAGTCTCCATCGGACTTCACCGTGGCTGTCCTAAGCACGCTTTCTTGGAGGCAGCTCCCTCTGAGCAAAGCGGTGCTTCTCGGACTGGGCTGTGTAACGACCGCTGTGGTTTTTTTTAAACGACGATGGTGTGACAAAATGGGTTCTGAGTTTGTTTGTTTTTTTGGTGAGGTTTCCTGGAGAAACTGGAAATTGCACCTGCATGATGCAATAACGTGCATGGTTCCATGTAAATGCTAAGGACGTGGATGTTCTCTCTAAGCTGTGGAGTCTTGGGAGCAGTGTTCCCTCTAAGCCAGTGATGGCGAACCTTTTAGAGACCGAGTGCCCAAACTGCGACCCAAAACCCACTTCTTTATCACAAAGTGCCAACACGGCAATTTAACCTGAATGCTGAGGTTTTACTTTAGAAAAAAACAACTCATACATTAACTTAAGGTGATCCAAACAAAGTAAGGAAAGCAATCCCAATTGCTTTCGTTTACTTAAAATTATTTCTCACAGAATTCGACACTTCAATGATGGTCTGGGCCTGGCTGGGGTGATGGCACGCGTGCCCACAGAGAGGGCTCTGAGTGCCACCTCTGGCACCCGTGCCATAGGTTCGCCACCACTGCTCTAAGCTGAGTTAGTGTGAGCTAGCTCACAGTTTTTTAGCCTCCTGCTCACATGCTTTTGCCTTAGCTCAGGAAGGATGGCTCTGGAGCAAACTAATTTATGCAGTCGCCAAATCGCTCGCTCACAACCTCAATGCCAGCTGTGCACGAACTAGACTCCACAGCTTGGAGCATTGCTTGTGAGCAAAAATTCTACTTTGTGAGCTGCTGGCATTAAAGTTGTGAGTGAGCAGTTTGGCTGCTGCATAAATTAGTTTGCTCAGGAGCCATCCTTCCTGAGCTAAGACAAAAATGTGTGAGGCAGAGGCTAAAAAACTGTGAGCTGGCTCACACTAACTGAGCTTAGAGGGAACACTGGACATGATACTCCTGTCTCGCAAGACACTACACAGCAATTAAAAGGAAATCCCCACAAGGGCATTTTTGACTGAGTGGCGTATTGGGCAATGTTTAGCAGCATTCTTGACTGAGTGGCGTATTGGGCAATGTTAAGCAGGGAAATAATAGATGAAAGCCTTCGGCAACAAAGAATAGATGGCTAGTAGACAATATTTGACCCAACTGAGAGATGCTGCAACCCTGCTTGTTATGCTTCTGAATTTGCTTGTGCTAATGAACCCTCAGTGAAAACGCATAAATTCATTTTATGTTTGAGATGGCAAAATTTATGCTTTAAAAGAAGGTAATAGATATTATTTGGGTTTATGCTGGTGAAAAACATGTGAGAACTCTGTAATTTGTACAATGAAAAGGTAGCAGGCAAGACCCATTTTAAGCTTTGAAATTAAAATGTTTTATTTCAGTAACAAATTTCAGTACTAAAAACAGTACTTTGGCTGATATGCTTATTATGGTGTGAACTTCTGTGTGGTGTGAACTTCATCACATGCACGAAGAGAGTAGTGAAGATTTTAGAAATACGTGCATGCTTGAGTCTGGTGAGGGGTAAACCTATTTTACAAAGTGAAATTAATGGATCTATTTCTATAGTTTATTGGAAATAAGTCCCACTTATTTAAATGTAGGTTGCTCCCAAGAAAATATGCATCAATAAAAAGTATCCTGTTACTTTGTTTACTCTGTGTTTGTGTTACCGTCTTTAGCTCTTCCTAGCAATAACTTTTCTACCTTATCTGGAAGTATTTTCTGCCACTTAATTTTACTGTTAATTTGAACAATACATAGTTTGTAAAGAAACTAACATTTAATGAAAACAGTAAGTGATTTCTCAGCTCTGGATATGCTTTGGCTTAAGGAGCACTGTGCTGAATTCCAGATTATCCAAAAAAGAAGTCAAAGCAGTATGCTTTATTTGATTGTGTCAGTTACTTAAATATTCTGGTCAATTATTGCCATTTCATCCAAATATGCTTATTGGGAGAAGTGATTGACAGTAGCTCCCTACTGAGTTGTATACATTGTGGCAAATCCAAGGTTTCCTCTGTGTGTAAGTGCAATATTGCCCTGAGCTAAGGCATAGAAGGGAAATTTGGTGTCTGCAGGGGATACAGCTACAAAGACTATTAGTAACTGTATCCCGTTTGGTTTTAATATCACGTTTTGGAAGTGCTTCATAGCAGTGACATATGGTTGTGATTTTTTTTTCCAGTTTTCAAACAAAGGAGGATTACCTCTTGGATGGAGAATAAAGGACCCAAGGCAGTGGATTCAAAGAGGTAAAACCGGAACACTGAGCTGTTGAAAGGGATCATATAATACTTGAAAGATTATTTCTTAGGGTCCTGCACATCGCAGGGAAGCCATAGCCTGCCTTGGTCCGGCTGTGTTGCTTTATATCAGACCTGGATTAACTGTGGCTGTAGGGAATTAACAAAAGTAATTGGTACGGCAGGAAGGGAGTGAACTGGGAAGTGCTAGTTTCAAATATCATTTCCACCATGAATTAACTTTGTGTTAAGGAAACTTGTTGTCATGTCCCCCCCCCCCCCAGGTCCCACCTGTAGTACGGTTGTAAACATTGAGATTTTTCAAAGGAATGTTGTGAGGATCAGTGAGACAATTATGTGAAATGTTTTCAATACTCAAAAATTGCATGTAAATAACAATTGTCATATAAATATCTTTGTGCTCGCCTTGTTGAGCCACGGCATGCATGACCCAACTTTGACCATGCTGCTAGATTTTTTAACAGATCATGAAGATGAAATCCCTATACGAAATCAGACAGATTTCAGGAGGACTAATTAACATTGTCCCTGACCTGGCTGGCGCAGGCTAGCCTGATCTCTGATCTCATCAGATCTTGGAAGCTAAGCAGAGTCGGCCCTGGTTTGTACTAGGATGGTAAGGATTGCTACACCAAGAATGCCCAGGGTTGCTACACAGAAGCAGGCAGTGGTAAACCACCTCCGAACGTCTCTATCCTTGAAAACCCTGCGGGGTTACCAGAAGTCAGCTGTGACTTTATGGCACTTTCCACCACAAGTTACACGTTACGGAGACAGAATTGCATTAAGACTGTAACAGTAATTGGTTTTTTGTAGACAGTCTATTTTCATTTTGGTTTAATATGTATCTGTTTGGGGGGTTGTTGGTTTTTTACTGAAGCAGGACATAGGAATCTGCTCCATCAGTAGGATGGCCCAGGCTAGCCCAATTTCGTCAGATCTCAGAAGCTAAGAAGGAATCAGCCTGGGTTAGTATGTGGATGGGAGGCTGCCAAGGAAGTCCAGGGTTGCTACACAGAAGCAGGCAGTGGCAAACCACCTTTGAACGTCTCTTTCCTTGAAAACCCTGTGGGGTTACCAGAAGTCAGCTGTGACTTTATGGCACTTTCCACCACAAGTTACACGTTACAGAGACAGAATTGCATTAAGACTAACAGTAATTGGTTGTTTGTAGACAATCTATTTTCAATTTGGTTTAATATGTAGCTGTTTGGGGGGTTGTTGGTTTTTTACTGAAGCGGGACATAGGAATCTGCTCCATCAGTAGAAATTCAGCCAATCCTAAAGGTAAGGGTGGAGCAACTTTAGTATCTCTAATGTTTCAAGTAGCAGTTACTGAGTAGTCACATGATCAGAAACCTGCACCCAGCCACCAGCATCTTAGCATCACCATAAAGGATGGGATGGTGGTGAAGCTTAAGGGTTTGCCCATCAGCTGCTGTCAAACTTTGATTTCATCTCAGTGGAGCTTCTGTGGGGATTCTGCTATGAGTGGTGACTTCAGTTTTTATTTCTTTATGTTGAAGATTTATATCCTGCTTATGCAAACGAATGCAGTGTGGTCTACAGGATAAAAATGTTAGGACGCCAAAGCAATAAATGTTGAACTGTGTAAGAGGCCTAATAAACAACTTTAATAGTAGTAAAGACTAAATGGAAGAAAAACAAGAGAAACAGAAACCAGAAATTAAACTTAAAATGGCCGCGACAATAATATGGAGTTACGTTTTTTAAAAAGCCAGTTTCAGGAGGACGGCCATGTTGGTCTGCAGTGGAAGTGCTGGAGTCCAGTGTTACCTTAGAGACCAAGAAGCTTTTCAGGGTATAAGCCAGAGGTGTCAAACTCATTTGTTACGAGGGCCGGATCTGACATAAATGTCACTTTGTTGGGCCGAACCATGTGTGCCATAATAGGTAATAGCAGGTACCGGAGATATAAACTGTAAGGACAGCAGCTGGTAAGCTCCGAGTTGGTGTATCCTCACTGCAAGCCCTCATGCGCTGGGAGGGAGTATGCAAAGGAAAATCCGCATGGGCAGACTGGTCAACCAGTGGTGCAGGACTGGGCAGATGCTCCTACACTGCTTGACTGCTACAGACAGAGTTGTTCCGCCATGCTGAAGCCACAATCGGGGAGGCTCTGCCCACTCCCCCCTGAGCAGTCTCCTGTACCCTCCCTTACACTAGATGCTTGTGGGCCGCATAAAAGCCCTGGACAGGCCAGATCCGGCCCCCGGGCCTTATGTTTGACATCCCGATGTAAGCTTTCAAGAGTCAAAGCTCCCTACGTCAGGTTTTTTAAAGGCCAGTAGACTTGCGCAATAAAGCAGGAACAAAAGACAGCTCACTTGAGAGTTCAGCCCCCTCCAAGGGCCAACTGGAAAAGAATAGCATCTACAGACTTCCAAAAGGCCAACATTAAGGAGACGGGCTGGGTTTTCAGGGGGAGCGAGTTCCAAAGTTGAGGGGTAGAGTGGAGAAGGCCCTCTCTCATGTGCTTCCCACCTTTATATCATGTTAGGTCAGCATGTGGAGAAGGGCGACTCCAGAAGTTCTCAAGTTTTGGAGAGGTTCACGTTAACTTGTTTATTTATAGCCCACCTTTCTCGCTGAGAATCAAAGCGTGCTGCCCTGTGTAAAGCAGTGTAGTGAAAAGACACTTCTAATAAGCCATGTGATAGGGCTATCATTCATAGCTGTCCCTATACATGTATTCTCTGTTGTGACCCCCATCTTTTGAAATGGCCTGCCTGTAGAGGCCAGTAAGACTCCCACATTTCTGTCAGTGCACCAGCTATATGAAACAGGAGAGCATGTCTGTAAAAGAGTAATAGATCTGTAAAAGTAATAGGTCTGTAAAAGTAATAGGGGTATAATGGAATGGAATGGTTCAGGAAGGTGCTTTTCTACAGGGAGGAGGACTGTAGTCTAGAATGGTATGTGTTGGCTGTTTATTGGAGGTATTGTCCTGCTTTTGCTGCTTTGGTTTCTACTCCTGTAATTCTGTTTTGTGCACTGGTTGACATATTATGTCAGATATTTTTGTTGCATTGAAAGCATTGGAAGCCAGTGTCATTGCTGGAGAAGTACAATCCCCTAAATACTTTTAAGTTATCTAACATCCTTGTGACTAGAAGCATGCAATTCTGGGTGCAGGAGTGGTCCATGAAAGTTCAAAACATTGAATTACGGGCATGTTCCTTGAAGGAAGTCCAAGATCACTGCACAGACCCAGGCAATGGCGAACCACCTCTCCTTGCCTCTTGCCTTGAAAGCCCTCTGTGGTTGCCATAACTCTGCTGTGCCTTGATGGCACTTTCCATTAAGAGGTCATGAGTTAGAAGTTCTTTTCAAATAGCGGTAATGGGATAGTGGGAGTTACCTGGCATTGGTGGGGAAAGTCACAAAGCCTAGCTTTAAAACTTAAGAGGGAAAAAGAATTCTGCAGATTTATTAGCACATTTCATTCCTATGTGGTGACCACATTTCATTCCTATGTGGTGACTTTGCCCTAGGGCAGCTGCGTATTGGAATAAGATAGCAGAGTTCTATTACGTTTTGGTTTAGATAGAGAAATCGTAAGCACTCCTGAAACTATGCCCCCCCATTGCAATCTATTTTGTTGAATCGATTACAGCAGCTCACAATATATTGGTGCTCACAAGGTAGTGAGAGTTGAAGGAGATCCCTAAAATCGAACACTTAGTGGATAAAATAAATAATATTTGTTTAATGATAAAGTTTACATGATCCCTTCAGTAAAGTCAACGTTTTGATGATTTGAGGTATGTTTGGTCACAAGTTACTGATCACATTCAGATAAAGGCTGATTTCAGACAGCTTATGTATTCCGTTTCAGGAACTGGTCACTGACAGGTGTTTGCTGTCATTTCAGACAGACCCGTTTTAGTAACTGGTCCCTGACGGAATATATTTATCTGTTCAGACACGTTTCTGTCCCATTTGGGAAGCATGCCTGAAGTGTTGTTGACTCAAACTGCTTTCCTCCAGTCTTCAATCCTTCCTACCGCTTCTGAAGCACTATGGGGTGCTGTATAAAATGCCCCGTAGCGCTTCCCTTGATGACAGTTCTTTTCGCGCCCTTTTTCTCCCTGTGCACAATCGTCCTCTTTTTGTGCGTGTGAACATTCTATTGGGAGCGCTATGGCGCCGAAGCAGGACTACAAATCAGTGCCATAGCGACCCTGTTGAGATTCCTGAACTCCATTTAGATACACTGACATTCGCTATTGCTGTCACCTGGAACAAGTACCTGGTTGGACAGCGTGTTTAAGTGGGAGATCATGGGCATAAGTGAATGGTGAGACAGATGTCTGGTCGATTTTTAAAACGTTTGCTTTAGAGGAAATGGAGACTCAGGCACACATATGCCAGCGTGTGTGGGAGTTAAGGAAAGAAGGAAAGCATCCTGGGTTTCAAAACTGTCCGTTCCCCCCCCCCCCCCCGCTTGAACTCTGTATCCAATGAGCTCCCTTGTTTCCAGGTGACAGCTGTAGCAAATGTCAGTGCATCTAAATGGAGTCCAGGAATCTTAGTGGGGTTGCTATGGTGCTGATTTGTAGTCCTGCTTCAGCGCCATAGCACTCCCAATAGAATGTTAAAAAAACCCTCTCAGGGAGATCATGCATGTGGGGGGAAAATGGCGGGAAAAGAGAGTGGTGCAGTTTGAAATGACACACCGCTTCAGAGACGGCTCCTTACCGGAAGGGAAAGGCTGTGTGAAACAGCCGTCCCTGTACCAGTTTATTCCATGTTGGGACAATAACGGTTTAAAAGGGATAATGTGAAATGGCTCAAAATCTGTGAAAAATTGTGTTCGTAATAGTTGGTTTGAAAGTTGTTTTTGTAAAATTTATTATTTTAACAAAAAAGGATGCTACAAATGTGTTACAGTTCTAAAATTAGCTTAATATCAGTATTAATTTACAGGAAGAGATGACCTACGTTTGGTACCGATGCCCCCAAAGCACATTTTCAAACATCGTTGTTGCCTTCTTCCTTCACAGCTTGCAGAACAAAACTAGCAACGCAGAAGCAGAGTCCAAAATGGCTTCAGAAAAAAAAGATAACGCCTTTGAACATGATATGAAAAAGGTTGAGAATGTTCTTCATCAGGGTCCTTCAAGGTTGTCTGCAGAACTGAGCACCAAGTCTGCAGCCTTGACTCAGACTGGCACCCTACATAAATGGGAAGCAGAGGAAACGCCCAGGAACCCACTTCCAGAAGCAGAATCGATGAAAGGAACCCAGACTGGAGACCAGTTGAAGAATGCCAACGTTAATCAAACTCGCAAAGTCAGTAGCCAGGTTTATTGGGGATGCAATGAAACTCAGGAGAACTGTCCTCATAAGCTTTCATTGGGCAGCCCTGCAAAGGTGGCCAGTAAAAAAGAGCCTTCCAAAGATGGCAGCGTGGAAAGGCAAGCAGTGATGCAAAATCCACAGCCGTATAAGAACTGCAGCTCAGAACATCTTAGTTGTGTAACCACTGAGCTGGACCGGGCGGATGTGGTTCCTGAGAGCCCACTTTCAGATGCAGGCTGTGATGCATCTTCCTCTGATTTGCACAGTTCGCCACGTGGAGATCAAGGGTGCATGGGCAACTCTCCTCCTTTTGAGAGAGAGAGCGAACCCGAATCCCCGATGGATGTAGATAATTCCAAAAACAGCTGCCAGGGCTCGGAGGCTGATGAAGAAACGAGCCCGCTTCTCGAGGACCAGGAAGACATTGGCGTCGTATCAAAAGCGCCAAACAAATCCTCACATTTTCAAAGGGCGGATACTGACTTGGATGTAAGAAAGCCTTCATTTGCAACCCGGAGGAGTGAAGGTGCTCGGTTTTGTCTTAATTTGGAAGGGATGGATAATCCAGTCAAAGAGGCTGAAACGCACTCCGAGTCGTACGGTGTATCGCCAGTAGTGTTGTCAGAATGCAAAGGTGCCAAACACTGTGGGAGGAAGGACACTAAAATCACTGCACATTTTGCAAGGGTTCCCAAGACAGAGGAAAAAAGGTAATTTTTTTCCCCCGCCCACCTTTTACTCCTTTCTCCATTTATATCCCCATTAGCATTGCACCTAGTATTTTGGGACAGTCTCTTACAGTTAAGCAAATTTATGGTCTGTGACTGTGGAGGGACACTAATGGGAAAAGATGCAGCATGGTGTTATGGCGCTGTTTTGTAAACTGACTGGCAAAACCAATTATATAGGGAAACGGACGGTTTCCCTGTTGGCATATTTTGGCCCAACCAGGATGGGGTGCTGTGATATCCCAAGTACAACTGCACAGTTTCTTTCCCCCAGCGCAGGTTAATTACACTACTGTCAAAGCCACAGAATGGTCCTAGATTTCTGATCTGCCCTATTCTGGGAGGGGCCCTGACCTGGATGGTTTATGATAGCTTGATCTCATCAGATCTCTTGGTTAGTACTAGAGATGTGAAGGCCTGGAAAAAAACCGGAAAAATTCGGAAAAAAACTCGTTTTTTTCCTGAAGCCTTTTTGTTTTTTTCCGAAAAATTGGAAAAATTGAAAAAAGAAAAGAAAAGAAAAAAATTGATTATGGAACGTTTTATTTTAACATGATAAATAAAATATTTTAAAACAAGGTGTTCAAATATTTTCCAAATCATTTCTAAAATATATATATATGGTATCAGATTGATCTAATTTCTGTGCACTGAGGACAAGCAAGTCCTAGGTTACAAACTGAACTCTCCAATGCAAGAACAAGATGGATTTCTTCCTTTAGGAGGTGCGATTGTCAGAAGAAAATTAAAAAGTTTCAGTTTTGTTTTTGCATGTGGGTGGGTATTCTGTTTGTGATAATTGTTTGGATACACTATATTTTTAATATGCTAGTTGTGATAATTTCATGCCAAGTAAAAATGTCCATAGTCGTATTTTATGTTCCTAAAGTAACAGAATGACTTTCAATCTAGAAAAGACAAAAGAAATGCTAATGTAGCATTTTTTCCAATTTTTCCGAAAATTTCCGTTTCCCCCCGAAAAAAACCGGGTAAAAAACGGGGTTTTTTTCCGAGCTTCAAAATATCCGGAAATTTTACATCTCTAGTTAATACTTGGTCAACTCCGGTTAGTATTTGGACATGAGGCCACCAAGGAAGTTCAGAGTTGCTACGTGGAGACAGGCAGTGGCAAACCACCTCCGTCTGCCGCTTGCCTTGAAGACCCTACAGCAGGGGTGTCGAACTCATTTGTTATGAGGGCCGGATCTGACATAAATGAGACCTTGTTGGGCCGGGCCATGTGTGTCATAAAAGGTAATGCCAGATAGCGGAGATATCAACTTTATAAAGGATACAGACAAACACAAGGATTTTTATAACTTTAAATAGCACATTTCCAGTGAGTTTGACACCCCTGCCCTACAGGGTTGCCGTAAGTCAGCTGCAACTTGATGGCACTGTCTACCACCATCACTAATTCAGAACGTGTATCAAGTTCATAGCAACTTTGGGACATCAAAGCTAGAAGACCCAAGTTCTTTAGAATATGCTTCTGTAATCATGAAGATTAGCTGAAGGTACTTACTTGAGCTTATTGTCTGGACAACATTTTGGAACACAAAATATACTCTTAAGAGGAATCCAGCATGTAGACATCCTCATAACCTGCGCATACTATTCCATTACCGCATCAAGTGATGACTTGGCTGTGTGAAAGAGCCATTGTCGATCAAATGCCAGAGGTAGAGTTTTTGTATCACCTGATGATTGCCTCAAACATGGTGCCTTTCAGGAAAGGTACTTTACGCGTGCTTCTTCGAATTGGTGTGCCATGTGACATCAAATGATGTGTTGCTGAATAATGTGTATTCATTTGTGAATCAGGTTTAAGTAAATGTGTGCATGTCACATGGCAGACCTTGGTTTTCCTCTTCTAAAAGGATGAGGTACGTTATAGAGCAGAGGAGTGTAACCAGCTATGAGAGGAATGTATTTAGAAACTGGGAAAAAAAGGGGGGGGGGACTCAACCCAGGATATGACTACGAACCAAAAAGGGCTAAGCTAAACCATATATATAAAAGTACAAATATTTATTAAGGTGTACACATGTTAAAACTTTCCTGATTAAAAATTACTTTGTCTAAGATCAGACTATAAAAGCTTATCCTCTATACATACATATGATCAATGTTCCCTCTAAGCTGTGGAGTCTTGTGAGCAAAAATTCTACTTTGTAAGCTACTGGCATTAAAGTTGTGAGCATGTAGTTTTGCTACTGCATAAATTAGTTTGCTCTGGAGCCATCCTTCCTGAGCTAAGAGAAAAATATGTGAGCTGGAGGCTAAAAAACTGTGAGCTAGCTCACACTAACTCAGCTTAGAGGGAACACTGCATATGATGGGTAAATAATTTACAACTGAAGACCAAACACGTTTCGACCCCTAAGGGCCTTCCTCAGTGGTCACTATTATCTATATATTAGACACACATTCAAAGACCTGTTACAGAGTTTTAGTACACATATAATTTAACCAGATGTTGTTTCCTAAAATTATTCAAAGAAAAATAGAGGGGGGGGGGAGAGAAGAAACTTCATTATTCAGTCCAAATGTATAAAAGAAATTATTATGGAATAAAAAATGATTCTATCAAAGATAAAGTTACCTTGTATACTTATAACTGGACTCCTGGTATTAGTGATGGGCCATATGTATAGCCATATCACCTCCACAACTTATTCTGAATTAAAAAGTAAAATTGTAAAAAAATTATTGTATTCGTAGGAATTTATTTAGGTCATCTGTCTAATCGTTCCAGCCTATAAAATTTGGAGAGGGAGAAATGGCTTCCATTAGTGGCTTTTTAGGATGATGTTGGATTGCATTGATACTTTTGGATGGTATTAACAAAGAAAAGGTCAGAATTGCACATAGGCGTCACTGAAACTCTCTCCAGCATATCAGGAAAGTATACTCAAGGTATATTAACTCTGCTTTAATTTTTAATGGCAGGAATGAGCCGTGTGACGTAAAGCCTCACAGGCCAGGAAGGAAGACACCTAGATACACCCCTCCTTCACTCCCAACTAATAAGAAATGGTTTGGGACACCTATTGAAGAGATGAGAAGAATGCCAATGTGCGGGGCTCGTCTTCCTCACTTGAGACCATCTGCCAATCACACCGTGACAATCAGAGTATGAAAGTCAAGTTGTTTAAAGTATATTGAAAACCAAACCTTTTTTTTTTTTTTTTGGTAAATTGAGGGGATACTGATATTTTCAGCTTAACCCTGAGGTTTCAGCTCTATTCATCTTTTCAGTCACCACCACTTGGGAACGGATTGTGTATGATAAGCTGACCCTGGAGTTCAGAAGAATTGTCTGGGGGGGAGGGGTAGCCATGCATTGCGAGCAAATGCATATCCTTAAAATGCCTGGTGCTGTTTTATGTGCTTGGTACGTCTCTTGGCTTGAAAACCCAGTGGGCTCGCCATAAATCAGCTGCGATTTGACAGCACTTTCCACCACCAGGAAAAGCCACTCTAAGGGATGGGGTGGTTTAAGAGCAAAGAAATTGGGGTGGGGAGGAAAAAACAGACGCTGAATGCGTTCCCCTGCTTTTGATTCCCTGCTGAAAATCCTAATTTTGCTTTTCATCTCTTCAGCTTCTTGCTCTTTCCTACAACCTCTTTTAATTTCAGTAACTTCGTGTTGTTCCCACAGCCCTTCCATCTTTTGTACTAGATTATAGTACCGTACCAGTAGGCGATTTATGTGTGAGCATTGTTACCATGTGGCAGAACCCATGGTTTGCTTTATAAGCTAACATCAAACCGCACAATATATGAGATAACCTCACCTAGTCAGGATTAATATATATTGTTTATTTTTCGGATGTCTTTCTAAAACCTACGTTACATATTATTGACCACTCAAGAAGGCCTAAGAGGCCAACATGTGTATGGTCTTGTGTTGGTCATTTGGTATTTCTCATCAGCTTTGTATGAGAAATTTATAACAGCTTATGTAAAACTGATTCTCTATGTCTTTTAATGCAGCCAGATATTCAGGCCTTATGTTTTTAACTGCATTATTGTGTATTTCTTTTGATACAAATTTTGTTTGCTGTAGCATTCTCAGTACAATTCTGGTTGAGTCTGTTTCCCCTTCTCCTTTGCTTGTTTTCTTACCAACGTCCACGTTTTAAAAAACAGTTACCACCAGTAGCCTCTGATACAGTTGAGTGTGTATTCCTTCCTTCATGCATGCATGCATGCTTTCTTGTGTGTTTGTAAGGGGGAAAAGACTTAATTTGGGATTGGGGAAAATTGGGAATACACACTGGCCAGTATTGTCAGGTAGACTGCTGTTATGTTCTCTCTTTCTCATTGGATAGTTCAAAGCAGTGTGAGTCCTAGTGGAGTTGCTGAAAATCTCCAGTACAGACCTGATGCTTCTAATCCGCGATTAGCGATTGTTAGGATATGAGCTGCTTTTCTTATATCGTGCTTTTGACAGTGAACCCGCAGCAGTTGCTTCAGGGAGAGAGAAGGGCTGGGTAAAAACAGGAGAAAATGAGCAGGAGTAATTTCCAGTTCATAGTAAAATTACTGACTTTGTCCTTTGCATTCTCCCCAACACCACCAAAAACATGTGAACCGTGCAGTGGCACCTTGGTGTACTCATGCAGTTTCTCTCCTTGTGGGTGAGGGCATGTTGAGAAATCTTTGATATGAGGACACTGCAAATGGGCATGGCAGTTCCTGGCTTGGGAGGGGGTGTTGACCCGCAATGGGCCCACATCCCAAGGGGAGGATTCCCACTTGGGCAGCAAATTGTCTGCCAGGCCTTGAAGAGAGTCCTGTCTATCTCCCAGCTATTTGGTGGCAACCGGGGGGGAGGCGGGCACCACTGGGCCAATACCCAGGCTGGGTCCTCATCTTGCATGGGAGGGCCTGCCCTTCCCCTGGTGCCAGGAAGTCCTAGTCAGACCCACTTCATAAGGCCAGATGGGTGCAGCCGTGTTAAGTCAGTAAGGGAGCAGAACTGCAGGACAGAGGAGAACAAGGGTGGTATGGCAAAACCTCTCCTTTGCCTAATTAGGCCTGCCAAGGGTGGCAGAAGCAGCCTAACAGATAAGAGGGCAGACCTGGAGCGCAACAGCATTGTTGTGTAACACTCGGCTCGTGTGCTTTGAGGAATGCTGTGGTGGTGGTACTACTCACCTTCTCCGTTACAGTCGAGGCACCATCAGCAACTGAGGCGCAGAGACAGGCATGGGGAGAATATCAGGGATGGTGCCGGAAGGGTGAAGAGCAGGTGTTTTCCCTCAGTCCACTGAGGAATGGGACGTGTGCAGTGGATTCACCAGCCAGAACATTGGCTGCAGCCCTCCCAAAATAAAGGCTCAGTCCACTGAGGAATGGGACGTGTGCAATGGATTCACCAGCCAAAACATTGGCTGCAGCATAAGATCCCTTATGCTAGTAGTGGACTGGTAGAAAACATAGATTCATATTGCCTGATCCTCTTATATGTGCACCAGAGGTCCCCAACCCTTTTGAGCCTGCGGGCACATTTGGAATTCTGAGACGGCATGGTGGGCACAGCAGCAGAATGGCTGCCACAGTGCTTAACTCCAGTCACACAGTGCAGATCCTTGTGTTGCGGTGGCAGGTGCTGCCAAAGCACAGCCAATCGAATCTCCAGTAGTCAGTCTGAAGCCTTGCTGGGCAAAAGCCCTGCCTGGCCTCTCCCCTCCCTACAAATACTTGGCGGGCACCAGGAAAGGCTTCTGTGGGTGCCATGCCCACCCACAGGCACCACGTTGGGGACCTCCGGTGGACGCTTTCAAGTCTTGGACGTATTCGCATATATTTGTAACACTGGAGTCGTCTTTCTTAAATTGCAATAATAGAAAGGAGAATGAAATATACTGAACCATAGGTAAATGTGAATGATCGAAATCCTTACAAACAGGGGCACTGTTAATACCATCTTTGCTTTCTCTTTTTTTTGGGGGGGGGGGGTTGTTGAAGGATATAGGATTTGCAGATAGAAATCTAAAACCAGAAGTAACTTGATTTTTTAAAATGTCTCTCTGAAAGGTTTAGCAAGTGCAGCACTCATCACCTGTCTTTTTTTGCAGGTCGATCTTCTGAAGGAAGGGGAAGTGCCCAAGCCTTTTCCGACACACTATAAAGATTCGTGGGACAATAAACACGTCAAAATGCCTTGTTCAGAACAAAATTTGTATCCCGTAGAAGATGAGGTGAGCCAAATGTTTGTCCATGCTAAAAAATTCAGACAATCTGACTGTCTGGATCTGACCATGTACCATGTCCAGAGGAACTCTACATCAGTGGTCCTCAGCGTGGGGCCTGTGGGCCCCCGTGTCACCCACTGATGTGCTTACAGGGGCCTGTCGTCTTCTGGGGACAGTCTGGGCTTCCCACCACCTCACTGGAGCAGGAGGTGCTTCAGAAAGAGCTTAGGAGGGATCATCTTTGAGTCTGCAGGGTGTACCCATTCAGAAAATAGCTGCCTTCCTTCAAAGGGGGAAAATTGGCTGGGCAGCTCCCAGTTCTGCAGACTGTGACAGCAGCCATGAAATTAAAAGATGCCTGCTCCTTGGGAGGAAAGCGATGGCGAACCTAAACAGCATGATAAAAAGTAGAGACATCACCCTGCCAACAAAAGTCTGCATGGCCAAAGCAATGGTATTCCCAGTAGTCATGTATGGCTGCGAGAGTTGGACTATAAGGAAGGCCGAGCGCCGAAGAATAGATTCTTTTGAACTATGGTGCTGGAGAAGACTCTTCAGAGTACCTTGGACTGCAAGGAGATCCAATCAGTCAATCCTAAAAGAAATCGACCCTGACTGTTCCCTGGAAGGCCAGATAATGAAACTGAAGCTCAAATACTTTGGCCACCCAATGAGAAAGGAGCACTCACTGGAGAAGACCCTGATCCTGGGAAAGACTGAAGGTCAAAGAAGACGGGGACGGCGAAGGATGAGATGGTTAGACAGTGTCATTGATGCAACGAACATGAAATTGAGCAAACTTCAGAGGATGGCGGAAGACAGGAGGGCCTGGCGAGATCTTGTCCATGGGGTCGTGAAGAGTCGGACTCGACGGTGCGACTGAACAACAACAACAAAACAGTCCCTGAGGCAGCTGTTTTGTGGCGATGCCCACTCAGTGTTCTCAGAATTCCAGGAACGCTCACACGCTCAGCATGAGTGGGATTCAGAAGATTAGTGCCTCTGACTGTGGGTTCCTTCAGTCACCATGGCAACTGATAGATTTATCCTCCATGAATCTAGCTAATCCCCTAGGTCAGGGAAGTCAAACTCACTTGTTATGAGGGCCGATCTGACAAATGAGACCTTGTTGGACCGGGCCATGCGTGTCATAAAATGTAATGCCAGGTAGCGGAGATATAAACTTTATAAAGGACACAAAGGGGTTTTTTTTTTAACTTAAAATAAAAACATGCTTAAAACATTAGCACTCCTGCAATATTTTGTTTATTTAACAGTGTCGGATCACTGACACCTCTTGCTCTGAATTATGGCATCAAAATGTCCGTGCTATTGCAATCTTGAGTATGCTTTTTCAGGTGTGTATCTGTAAGCTGCAGAACGACGATGACGCAGCAGCAGCGGAACTGGAAGAAGCAGCAGAAAGACAGCCAGTTCCACTGCGGGCCCGATAGAAGCCCTCTGGGGCCTGATCCGCCCCCCCTGGTGGCATGTTTGATGCCCCTGCCCTAGGTTCAATTCCCCACTTTGCCATGAAATAATGCTGGGTGACCCCGGGGCCTGCCAAATACTGTCAGCCTCATATACCTCGCAGGGTTGTTCTGAGGATAAAATGGAGGAAAGGGAAATAGCGTAAGCCACTTTGGGTCCCCATTGGGGAGGAAGAAAAGAAGAAGAGGAGATTGGATTTATACCCCGCCCTTCACTACCCAAAGGTGTCTCAGAGCGGCTTACAAACTCTTTTCCCTTCCCCTCTCCACAACAGACACCCTGCGAGGTAGGTGGGGCCGAGAGAGCTCTTGACAGAAACTGCTCTTTTTCAAGAACAGCTGTGCCAGAACTATGGCTTGCCCCAGGTCACCCAGCCAGGTGCAAGTGGAGGTATAAAAGCAGGGTATGAATGAAGTAAATGAACAAAACGGCGTTCTCTCTCACTGTGTGTGGACGTGGAAGCTGGACGATGAAGAAAGCTGATGGGAAGAAAATTGTTATGTTTGAAATGCGATGTTGGAGCAGAACTTTCATGGACACCATGGACTGCCAGAAGAACAAACAAGAGGGTTCTAGATCAGTCTAAGCCCGGATTCTCCCTAGAAACTAAAATGACTAAACTGAGGCTATTGTACTTTGGTCGCATCACGAGAAGACAAGTGTCATGGAGAAACACAGTAATGCTAGGAAAAGCGGAAGGCAGCAGGAGAGGAGGGAGACCTAGCATGAAATGGGTGGACTCAGTCAGGGAAGCCACAAGGGCCCCTCAGTCTGCAAGACCTGAGCCAGGCTGTTAGCAATAGGACGTTTTGGAGATCATTGATACATAGGGTCACCGTAAGCTGGAAGCACGTAACAGCAACAAATTATAAATAAAATAAGCTCAACTTTTGTAGCCGAACTGCAGGCTGTGGAAGGTCAGTAGTTCAGCAGTTCGAGACCCGGGTGCCGCATGACAGAGTGAGCTCCCATCTCTGGCCCCAGCTCCTGCCAACCTAGCAGTTCGAAAGCAGGAAATTGCAAGTAGATAAATAGGTACCACTTTGGTAGGAAGGTAACAGCGTTCCGTGAGCCTTGGTGTTTAGTCATGCCGGCCACATGACCACGGAAACGTCTTCGGACAGCGCTGGCTCTTCAGCTTTGAAACGGAGATGAGCACTGCAACCCTAGAGTCGTATTCGACTGGCTTTTGAGCAAGGGAACCTTTACCTTTACCTTAATACAGTGCTCTCTAGTGTTAATCCTGTATACAAATACAGAGGGATTTGTAGCAGCTCATCTTCCTAACGCTGGTTGTGCTTTTATGGTAAATGGCAAAGCCAAAGTTACTGCAAGCTGTTGTTGTCGATTACATTTTTATTATTCATTATATCACGTCCAGTTTCTTTCCATTGTGCATTCCACTTTATGATGTCTGACATTCTGTTTATCACAACAACTAGCCAGATGTCTCTGGGAAACTTACATGCAGGACTTGAAAGTTATTTAACATAAGAACATAAGAGATGCCAATGTTGGATCAGGCCAATGGCCCATCTAGTCCAACACTCTGTCACACAGTGGCCAAAAATACCAGGTGCCATCAGGAGGTCCAGCAGTGGGGCCGGGACACTGGAAGCCCTCCGACTGTTGACCCCCCCCAAGCACCAAGAAGACAGAGCATCACTTGCCCCAGAGCCCCTAATAGCCACTGATGGACCTTTGCTCCATATGCTTATCTAATTCCCTTTTGAAGCCGTCCATGCTTGTAGCCGCCACCACTTCCTGTGGCAGTGAATTCCGTGTGTCTTCCATTGGTCTTCCATTGGTCTTCCATTGGTTGTTCCTGGCATCTTTTTAAAGCCTATGAACATGTAGATTATATGTAGGTATCACAACGAATCTCTTTCAATAGGTCTGTCTATAAATTTGTCTCATCCCCTTATTTTAAAAAGCTTGTCAGCATTGACTCTATGAACTAACTAAATTGTGTGAAGAAGTACCTTCTCTTCTAAGTCCAGCACCTACTGCTTACCAGCTTCACTAAGTGATATCAATATTACAAATAAATATAGGAAGATAGATAATAAAGATAGATAATAAAGTTGCTTTGCCAAGTGGGAGACTACCGTGTTGTTCTTTTGTAAGGTGTTGTGAAACATCTTTGTGGCTTCTTTTTCTAATGTGCACAAAGACTACAAAAATTTATGATAACTGGGCAGTTTTATCACCATTTGAAATTTTTTCTAAAGCAAATTAGTGTGTATTTTGTAGTCCCCCCCCCCAGAAGTCTTTAAAGCAAAGAAGCTCTCTGCAACTTAGTAAATGCTCCTTTTCCCTTTCCCATCCCTATTAATTGTAGCATGATTATTTGTGATTATATTTTAACTTTGCACTCTTTTTGGTTATAAAGGTCAAGCTAATCTTCTTAACAGAATCAACTTAATCTTACATCTGTAAACATTTTGTTTCTTGTTTTGTCTCAAGAATGGGGACAGGGCTGCTGGCAGCCGATGGGAACTTATCCAGACTTCATTGCTCAAGAAATTCACCTCTTCCCGTGATATGAAGGTAACTTAAGATAAAGAATCCATAGAGATTTTTGAAAGCTATCTTTTTTTAAAAAAGAGGTTTTGCTACATTGCTTATTACATTCTTCCTCCCCCCCCCCCATCAATCAAAACAATACTACCTTCATTAGACTAGTACACACTATTTGTAAGGGTATAAGCTTGTGTTGTGATATAATGGTCCCTGAATTTAAAAATAATATGCTCCATGTCTGGGTGGGGTTTTAAAATTGGCTCCCAAGATACAAAACAAAGTGCAGTGTTGATACTGGTGAATAATATTTTCGAGAAAATGGCAGTTAGCAGGGGAACATTATTTCTCCTTCTTGAAATGTTTGAATGGCGACACATGTCTCAAAATTGCCTAAATTAAAATGGATGGCATTCTGAAGGACTTCGGGGGTTTTAATACGTAACGGCATGTTCTGTGCTCTGAGAGCACTTTTTTTTCCCAGTTCTGTCTTATAGATTGCTACCTTTTTTATGTTGCTATATTTTCTTCAGCCTTAGAAATTTGCCTGTAGTTCAGTCTGTAGTCTTCTTTTACAAAGTACTGAATGTTTAGCTGTAGCCTTTTCTCAGTGCAACCGTCTCCAAATTACCTGCTTCTCAACCTCCCCCAGGCTCTTTTATCACTGCCAGACTTCAACAATTTCTTAAAATTTCTTCCTTCAGAAGCATTTAGGCTAGGGGTGGTTAGTTTGTTAACAAGTGATTTTTTCCCCTACATAGTTAGGAAGCCCCTTGAGAATAAAGAAACCCTAATTTCACTATCCTGCTATTTGGACTGATGTTCTGTCCAACAGAAAAGTTAATAACTTTGGTGTCCTGAAAGAACCCTGGTGAGAAGAAATCATTAGGAAATTTGCTCCTGACCTAAACGAACTACGCCTCTGGAATACTTCCTGCATGCTGTTTTGGTTAGAATCTTGGGCAGCGGTCACGCACACTAAATAATCCACTTTCAATCTAGTTTCCAACTGGATATTACTGTGTGAACTGGCAAAATCCAGTTGGAAAGTGCATTGAAAGTGGATTATTTAGTGTGTGTGACCACAGCCTTGGACTGGGATGTGGGAGAACCAGGTTCGAATCCCCACTTTGCCACACAAGCTTGCTGGCTCACCTTGGGCCAGTCACAGCCTAAACTACCTCACAGGAGGAGGAGGAGATTGGATTTATACCCCGCCCTTCACTCAGAGTGTCAGAGCGGCTTACAAACTCCTTTCCCTCCCCACAACAGACACCCTGTGAGGTAGGTGGGGCTGAGAGAGCTCTGAGAGAACTGCTCTTTCAAGGACAGCTCTGACAGAACTATGGCTTGCCCAAGGTCATCCAGCAGCTGTATGTGGAGGAGTGGGGATTCAAACCGGGTTCTCCCAGATTACAGTCCGCACACTTAACCACTACACCAAACTGGCTTTGTTGTGATAAAATAGAGGAGAGGAGAAAGTCACTTTGGGTCCTCATTGAAGAAAAAGGTGTCATATAAATGATATGCATAAATAATCTCTTAGGAGCTTGAGTGGGCCATTTTCCCCCTTCTGCTCAGTCACTCTATTTCTCAGAATCAGTCATGAACTAGTGCTGAAGGCGCTCTGCATTCGGTGCCTCCTTGAGCATGCTCTGGGCGAGTGTGGCGACTGGCAGGGCACTTGCAGCCTATTTGAGGCTCTGCTTTCTGTACTGTGGCTCAGAATACCCCACTGAGCTATGGAAATGGAGGCCATGATAAAAGTTCGGTTGTTGGGTCTCCCCGCAAAATCACTCGGAAACAGCCAGAAGTATCATTCATCTCTCAGCCTAGTCATTTTCAGGGTTTCTGTTAACAATTGCCTCAGAGGCATGACAAAAACAGAACTCTGTAAACCGATTATGTAATAATTAAATAATGGTATCCCTGTGAAGTAGAAGCTGTCCCCTATTCATGAGTGCGTCCAGAAAATGCTTGACAGCATTATCAAGGGGTTTTTTTTTGCAGCAAATTGCAGTTCAACAGCTTTAAAAACAAAGCATTCCTCACTGTGAAAGCCCAGTTATAGACTCAGTGCGGTTGCCTGGTTCTCTGAATATGAATAAGGGTGAGAACCATGGGTGGGATTTATCTGTACCCTTCCTTTACTAAAATACTGTCCCTGTGTCATGGTACATTGAGTCCACAGCTTTTGTCGTTCTGTATTTTCTCTCTTAACTGGGCAAAATCGCCTTTTTGCACTGTCATTAGCTGTATGAAAGAGAGAATGTTGGCAGGCAGTGAGAAGCAATGTTCCTGTTGAGACACTTTTGTCTGTGCAACAGCTATAAACTCTGTGCTCTCCTTTGCATCTGCTTGCTCTCTCCCTATCTTAAAAAGAGATGAGCACAGTATACTATTAAGAACGTAAGAAGAGCTCTGCTGGATCATACCAGTGGCCCATCTAGTCCAGCATCCTGTCTCATGCAGTGGCCGACCAGTTCCTCTGAACGGTCAACAACAAGACCTAGAGGCCGAGGCCTTCCCCCTGATGTTGCCTCCTGGCTGTGGAATTCAGAGGCTGACTGCTTCTGAATGTGGAAGTTCCCCTCAGTCACCATGGCTAGTATTTATTTATTTAGAAGAAGAAGAGATCGGATTTATACCCCGCCCTTCACTTGGAGTCTCAGAGTGGCTTACAGACTCCATTCCCTTCCCCTCCCCACAACAGACACCCTGTGAGGTGGGTGGGGCTGAGAGAACTCTGACACAAACTGCTCTTTTTCAAGGACAGCTGTGCCAGAGCTTGTGACTGACCCAAGGTCACATCAGCAGGTGCAAGTGGAGGAGTGGGGAATCAAACCCGGTTCTCCCAGATCAGAGTCCGCACACTTAACCACTACACCAAACATTCAATTTCTATCCCGCCCTTCCCGCAAGCGGGGTTAGAATAAAACAATAAAATCAGATAAAACCATAAAATTAACCCAGACGATGGCGAACAAACGACAACGCAGCTGTTTTAGTGGTGCCCTGATGTTAAACAGTAAAAGCAGAAGGGCTGGATCCGAAAAGACATTCCGGGTTTTGGATACCCTGCTCGGGTAGACCAAGGTGGCTATCGTTCTGTGTCCTTGAAAATTGAAGACCATAATATAGATGGTAACATAGATGCTAACAGGAGGGGCCAGATGATATTTGACGTCTGCTGCCTCACCCAGAATCCTGGTGGAAGAACTCTGTCTTACAGGCCTTGCGGAACTGTAGAATGTCCCACAGGGCCCTGATCTTTAGTGGGAGTTCACTGCGCCAGGTTAGGGCCAGGCAGGGGTCATTTCCTGCAGGAGCGCACAGGAGCGGAGCTCCGGCAGTAAAGAGCCCAGGGGGCGGGCACATGCAACAAGCCCCACCCCCTGCTCCCAGCAGCCCTCAGTCAGAGCAAGAAGCAGCCAGGTAAGTTGCAGAGCCCCCCCCCCAGCCCCCCGGTCCAAAACAGTCCAGTGGCATCTTTAAGACCAAGTTTTATTCAGGTACAAGCTCTCCCTCCTCTGCGAGGACAGATCTGCACATCTCTCCCCCCCTCCCCAAAAGCTAGCAATCCAAAACAGTCCAGTGGAGCCTGAGCGGTGGGTGTTGCCTTCTGGCACACTTCCGGTGATGTCAGGGGGTGTGGCATATGCTAATGAGTTATGCTAATGAGCTCCTGCACCTCTTTTTCTACGGAATGACCCCTGGGGCCAGGGCTGAAAAGGCCCTGGCCCTGGTCGAGGCCAGACAGACAGACATCTTATGGGCAGGGGATCACCAGTAAATGTTGGTCTAATGAGCGCAAGGCTCGGCAGGGCACGTATGGGGAGAGGCTGTCCCATAAGTATACTGGTCCCTGGCTGCTCAAGGCCTTAATGGTTAAGTACCAACACCTTGAAACGGACTCGGAATCCTATTGGCAACCAGGGCAGTTCACGGAGGCCAGGGCAAATGTGCGCCCACGAAGACATCACCGTCAGCACACGTGCTGCCGCATTCTGCACCAACTGCAGTTTCCAGATCAGATACAAGGGTAGGCCTGTGTAGAGCGAGTTACAGTAGTCCAGTCTGGAAGTGACCATTGCATGGATCACTGTAGCCAAGTCGCGGGTGGAGAGAGATGGAGCCAGCTGCCGCACCTGCCGTAGGTGGGAAAAGGCTGATTTGGCAACTGTGGTGACCTGAGCCTCCATAGATAATGAGGCATCAAGTATCACCTCACTCTCGGCGCTGGCATCAACAACGCCCCACCCAGAGCTGGGAGCTGTATTTCCACATCCAGTCCTCCGCAACTCGGATACAGGACTTCCGTCTTCATTGGATCCAACTTCAGCCGGTTCTGCTGCAACCAGTCATCCACAGCCTCCAAAGCCCTGTCCCAAATATCTGGGGCTGAGTCGGGCTGGCCATCCGTTAACAGATAGAGCTGAATGTCATCTGCATATTGGCCTCAAAAAGAAGAGAACCGCAGCCCCTAATAAACAATGAATAAGAGAACAAACAAAGCTGTGTATAGAAATAAACAATTTCTAGCCAATTGTGTACAAATTTAACAATGTAATATAAATCAATATAAAGTATAAGGCATATAAAGCATGTAAAGACATAAGTCCAAGACAGTAAGTTCATGTATAACAAAGTCCAAAATGATTATAGCAAAGGGGCCAAGCCAATTGATTGACGAAATTTCCGGATAAAATATTTGTTTCATTAAGTCGTCTTCTGAATAGGACCGATGTATAACTTCAGACGGCAAGAACCATTTTAGATATTTGTAGAGTGGATCTATGTAAGTTAACGAATCAACAGTCTTCAGGAGGAACAATTCTTATACGTTGTAGGTTTTCCGGGCTTATAAGCTTTGGAAAGTATATGACGACGGGAGCTTTGTTTCTCGGAAGCTTACGTCCTGGAAAAAGTATCGGTCTTTAAGGTGCTTCTGGACTTGAATCTTGCTCTTTCAGCCTAGCTTAGCTCATAAGAACATAAGAGATGCCAATGTTGGATCAGGCCAAAGGCCCATCCAGTCCAACACTCTGTATCACACAGTGGCCAGAAATACCAGGTGCCATCAGGAGGTCCACCAGTGGGGCCAGGACATTAGAAGCCCTCCCACTGTTGACCCCCCCTCCCCAAGCACCAAGAAGAGAGAGCATCACTTGCCCCAGAGTCCCTATCTATACCTTGTGGCTAATAGCCACTGATGGACCTCTGCTCCATAGGCTTATCTAATTCCCTTTTGAAGCCGTCCATGCTTGTAGCCGCCACCATTTCCTGTGGCAGTGAATTCCAAGTGTTAATCACTCTTTGGGTGAAGAAGTACTTCCTTTTATCCGTTCTAACCCGACCGCTCAGCAGTTTCATGGAGTGCCCACGAGTTCTTGTATTGTGAGAAAGGGAGAAAAGTACCTCTTTCTCTACCTGCTCTTTCCCATGCATAATCTTATAAACCTCAATCATGTCTCCCCTCAGTTGTCGTTTCTCCAAGCTAAAGAGCCCTAAGCGCCTTAACCTTTCCTCATAGGGAAAGTGTTCCAACCCTTTTATCATTCGAGCTCACAGCATTGTTAGTTAAAAACACCTATTAGACATTACTCTGAGGGTGGACAAGTACCTTCAGCAGTTGGGTTAAGGAGGCCAGTAGCAGGGAGCAAGGTGAATAGCTTAGTAGCTTATCTCAGTGATGTGTTGTCTGTGTTGAAGGGAGAATAGGCAATGACATTGGGTTTTTTTTTCTGTTGTGTCATATAAGTCCCAGGTTTGGGGGAATTCTTGGTTGTGGTGATAGCACGTAGTTCCCGCCTGCCTCCTGCAGTCTTCACGACATAAAAAAGTTAGGAACTAGTTCTTGATCGCTCCTTCCTCCACCCAAGTGCCTCATTTGACAACACCAACCCGAACTCTGCACTGGCAGCAGACTACAAAAATGACCCCTCAAAAAGATAATGATTAAAAAAAAAAGAAACAGGTTGGGTTTTCAGTGCAGGAGCTTCTTGCCGGGTAAAAATGAGCAGGGGGGGCAGTTTGTGTGGGCTGACAGCATTTCACATTTGAAAATCTCATTCCAATTGTTTTTTTTTAAGCCTCATGGAATGTCAAAAGCAGCAGGGGATCTGAAGAGGAGGTTCTTCCAGTGTGTGATGATGCTGTCCTGATGTGTGTGTTGTGTAGGAACCTGTTTGTGTGATCGAATGTATTATCAGAGAATCTGAATTAACAGAGCGCTCTAAATGACACTATTACATACACGCAGGGCTATTTTTGGGCAGGAACGCACAAGAACGGAGTTCCGGCTGGCTCCTGAGTTGGCCACACCCAGCAGGAACTCATTAGCATAATAGGCCACACCCAACAGCAGAAACTCATTAGGATTGGCTACATTAGGGGTGTGTGGCCTAACATGTAAAGGAGTCCCTGCTACAAAAAAAGGCCCTGGGTTTTGACAACAAACAAGGTAAACAGAATAAGAAGCAAAAGGTGGGTGTGGCTGGATGACCGCACTTTTGGCAACACGGGGCTGCGGCCTAATATGGCAATGAGTTGTGCTGTCGGGTGTGGCCTAATATGCTAATGAGTTTCAGCTGTTGGGTGTGGTCTATTATGCTAATGAGTTCCTGCTAGGCTTTTTCTACAAAAAAAGCCCTGCATACACGTATCCACCTTGAGTCCTTGTGAGAAAGGCAAACTATAAATTATGTAAATAAATACAAATATTCTGTAAAATAAATTACAAAGCTTTTGTGGATGTAAAAGAAAAGTGTTTTATAAGTTAGCTTTGTTAGTAAAAAGTTACTTCTTGCTGTCCTTTAAAAAATGGATTGGTGAGCACTGGGAATGCATTATGAAATTCAGCCCCAGACCAAAGTTTTTTTTGTTTTGCTGAGAAGGCACAGGGTCCTTTCCAACCCCATCTATATTGTGGTCTGACTTTTTCCTCTTCAGACGCTGGCACTGATGCACCATCCAGTAGTACATATTTTTCTAAATTTCTTTGAACCAGTAGAGGGTGCTGTTTCTTTAAAAACCAACTTCTCAGCTTGCTCAAGTTGTTGTGACTTTTTTGCCTTTGTAGGAAGCTATTCTCAGATACAATGTCGCTTATGCCAAGAAATGGGACTTCGCAGCCCTTACTGACTTCTGCGATAAGGTAACGGAACTTTGTTTGATTTTGAAAAGTGCAAAAGACAATTCGGTGGCTGCCGTCTGTGTTTTGCCATTGTAATTTGGCGGCCTTTTTTTTTTTTAACACCAGTAACATATACTACTTTATAACTGTTGTCAGACTTCATTATTTCTTGTTAATAACTTGCAATTAACTGAATGCAATCGGTATGGTAGTAACAGAAGAAATAACTATTGATAAATAGACCCTTGGGTTCAAAATATCACGTGAAACCATGGTTAAAGACATTTCGGTGTGATGCTTGAATTGCTGATTTGTGGTTTGTGATTGGCCAACATGCTGGAATAAGAAACTGCGGCCTGAATTGGCTTGCAAAAGCATGGAATGGTATGATGCTTGGGATACAGTTCATGACTCCAAGAAGCTACATTGTCAATAGAACTCTGAGCCACGGTTTCCTTGCCTTTTGCATTTGGATGGCTGAAACTTGGGTGGAGCCCAGACTTCCTCACTTAATAGAATGGAATCACTGGATCAGGCTATATGGTTTGGTGTTTCAATTGAGCCTACGATCATGTTCTTTCTGTAAAATCAGTCATCCAAATGCGTCATTGGCTGCACTTTTGGATTTGGATGCTGAAACTTGGGTAGAGTCAGACTTCCTCACTTAATAGAATGGAATCCTGGATCAGGCTATATGGTTTGGTGTTTCAGTTGAGCCTACGATCATGTTCTTTCTGTAAAATCAGTCATCCAAATGGGATCATTGGCTGCACTGGATGAAATCAGGAAACAAGTCCAGTTCTATTGCTAGAACAGGCCTTGACCAATTTTCTTCAGCTCTAGGAGCTGGCCCAAAAGTCTAGGAGCCAAGCATAGTCACCATCAGGGTTATATGTTTAAATTATCTAATTCTAAAATTATTGCTTCTTCAAAACTTAGTACTAACTTCTTCATGGGTTTTTTTTGGTAATTTTATTAAATCTATGACAAAAGTATTGTGTTACACAAATAAATAAATGCCAGACTAACCCTGGTTGTTGTTACCACGGCAAAAAGCTAGTTCTGTGAACTTAGGCAGACCATGAGAGGGAGGGCAGGAAGAGATGAGTCAGTGCTTGGCTTTCATTACTCTTTCTTACGTTCCCAGGGTAATGCTGATCACCACTTTGGGGTCAGGAAAGAATTTCCCTCCAGGCCAGATTGGCCCAGGGATCCAGGAGGTTTTTTGCCTCCCTTTGGGCATAGAGCAGGGGTCGCTGGGGTGGGGGGAGAGGTAGTTGTGCAGGGGGTTGGACTAGATGTCACTTGAGGCCTCTACTAGCTAAATGTTTGTAACCCTAACCTATCTTCTCCCCAATTATGATAATCCAATTATTGTTTTGAAAAGTATTTATTTATTTATTTATTTCCTTCAATTTATATACCGCTCACCCCCTGAGGGCTCTGAGCGGTTTACATCTTCAGTTAATACCAATCCTTACCTAGGGCCACATACATACAATGGGGAGAGTGACTAGCCTAACAGGCACCCTCTAGCGAGTCTTCATTGTTATCTGCGGGAGATCTTTTTCCCGGTCCGGCAACGACGTCCTGGCGCAGGTCTTCCTTCGGTCGTTGCGTTTCCTTCAGGTCTGGGCCAAGCGCACGTCCGCGCGTGCTCGCTGCCGGCCTCTGTCCGATAGGCTCTTTTTTGCCTCCCTCTGGGCATAGAGCAGGGGTCGCTGGGGTGGGGGGAGAGGTAGTTGTGCAAGGGGTTGGACTAGATGTCACTTGAGGCCTCTACTAGCTAAATGTTTGTAACCCTAACCTAGCTTCTCCCCAATTATGATAATCCCATTATTGTTTTGAAAAGTACCATTTAATTTAATCTTGGAACCAGTGTAGAATGCAACTGGTTAAGAAATAATTTCATCTCCCACCAGTGAAAGGTATAAAGTTCAGTTTATATATAAACAAGTAAGCCAGACATCCTGGAATGTGAAGTTAAATGGGCCTTAGAAAGCATTACTAACAACAAAGCTAGTGGAGGTGATGGTATCCCAGCTGAGCTGTTCAGAGTCTTAAAAGATGATGCTGTTAAAGTGCTGCACTCAATTTGCCAGCAAATTTGGAAAACGCAACAGTGGCCACAGGATTGGAAAAGGTCAGTATACATTCCAATCCCAAAGAAGGGCAATGCCAAGGAATGTTCAAACTATCGCACAGTTGCACTCATACCACATGCTAGCAAGGTCATGCTCAAGATCCTACAAGCTAGGCTTCAACAGTACGTGGATAGAGAACTACCAGAAGTACAAGCTAGGTTTCGAAGAGGTAGAGGAACTAGAGATCGAATTGCCAACATTCGCTGGATTATGGAGAAAGCAAGAGAGTATGAGAAAAACATCTACTTCTGATTCATTGACTATGCTAAAGCCTTTGACTGTGTGGATCACAACAAACTCGACTGTGCGACTGAACAACAGCAACAAAAAGGATAAGACCTTCATGCACATTTTTAATGTTGTACAACGGAAGACGATGCAAAATGATAAGCTTTGCACTTACACAGACAAATGCTGAGAGACACTACTACAAAACCATTGGTAAAAATACTGGGCACTACAGTGAAATTTCTAGGCTCCGTGGCAACCTGGCACCTGGGGTTTGTCAAGCCTTGCACTAGAATCTTTCAATAAATACTTAATTCTTCTCTTTTAACACTAAAAGAGTATAGGGGGCAGTGTTACCCACAATCCCCTTCTACGGCTTTTCTTTACAAATATTTATTTATTTATTTTTATTTATCAGATTTATACCCCGCCCTCCTCGCAAAGCAGGCTCAGGGCGGCTTCCATGCAAGCGTGAGCTTTACAAATTCAGGAAAGCACAGTTGAACACTTGAAACGAACGCTAAGCAACTCTAAGATCCTTTTAGGAACCATCATAAAGTGTGCAGATGATTTCTGGAAAATTATAAGCCATGGAAGACAGTGTGACCTCTGAGGGGGAAAAGCCAGCAGTAGGGAAATAGACTGCAGATATGTACAGGTGTGATCAGGGTGATAAGATGGTTTCTGTGTTGTAGGAATAGTAAACTACTGTGAAGTCCATCCATCCAAAGCCTTTTATTGACACATACATAAGGATAAAGGTAAAGGTAAAGGTTCCCTTGCTCGAAAGCCAGTTGAATCCGACTCTAGGGTTGCGGTGCTCATTTCTGTTTCAAAGCCAAAGAGCCAGCGCTGTCCGAAGACATTTCTGTGGTCATGTGGCCGGCATGACTAAACACCAAGGAGCACGGAACACTGTTCCCTTCCCACCGAAGTGGTACCTGTTTGTCTACTTGCAATTTCTTGCTTTCGAACTGCTAGGTTGGCAGGAGCTGGAACTAGAGACGGGAGCTCACTCCGTCGTGCGGCACACTCGGGTCTCGAACTGCTGAACTACCGACCTTCCGCAGCCTGCAGTTCAGCGTCTTAACCACTTGAGCCACCGCAGCTCCAAGTATACATGAGGATGCAGTAATCTAAATACAAAATCGTGCATAGTAAAATTAGAATTGCAGAGTAACATCATAATAAGAGTTGTTGTTGTTCAGTCGCACAGTCGAGTCCGACTCTTCGCGACCCCATGGACCATCTCCCGCCAGGCCCTCCTGTATAAACTTTGCTACTATTTCAGTTATTTCTGTATCTGGATTATCAAGCAAGAAAAGGATTTTAAGATTATCAGGGGTCTCTAAAACTTGGGCTAGTATGGGATATAGAAGATCCCGACGGGACGCCAGATAGAGAGGGCACTAGAGGAGAACATGGGCAACAGCTACTAACCAGAAAACCTTTATTGGCATAGTATCAGTAATCAAACAAAGGACAGAGTTTAAAGGATAGGTACAAAAAGCAACATCGACCAGTATTCCCGATCCCAAGATACAAAGCAATCCTACTATGGTTTACAAGATTTACAGAGTATTACTCTTGACTTCCATACGTAGGGCAACAGTTTCAACACAGTCCTTCATACCAGGACAATACCTGCTAGGATAGGGAATCCCTTGGAATCTACCAGATAAGATAGCTGAAGGAAGAACATTAATTAAATCTAGCCAAGGATATGGCTCTACGCAAATTTGGAGCTATGAGTTGATAGAGGTATACAGCTGGAAGGCTTGCATTAGGAACAGTCCCCAAATTTAAGGGAGAACAGGTTCTGTCAGCCAGGCTATAAAGAGTTTGTAGCTCTGATCCCAATAAATTAGATTTTATTTTTAAAAAGGCACTGCTGTGAAATTCATAGAAATGGGAGAACTGAACTGGGAGCAGTGCACTAAGATGAATGTCTGGGGTAATAATAGGAACCATAAACACTGCCTAGGTGGTATACTAGGGGGCTCTGTACGTAGGGCAAACCAGGCAACCTCTACGCAAAAGAATAAAGACACAAATCTGACCTAAAAAATGGCAATATCCAGAATCCAGTGGGAGAACACTCCAGTCTACCAGGACATTCCATCAAGCACTTAAAGGTCACCATAGTTCAACAGAAACATTTTAAAACCAAGATCCAACGGGAAGCTGCTGAATTGGAATTTATATGTAAATTTGACTCAGTCAGACTTGGATTGAATAGACACCTCGGATGGTTATCTCATTACCAGAAGTAACTGCCTTTCAGGTATTCCGTTCAGATTCATCAATAGAGGGCAGGGGTCACACCCAATGTTCCCTTTAAGCTGTGGAGTCTTGAGAACAAAAATTCTACTTTGTGAGCTGCTGGCATTAAAGTTGTGAGCAAGCAAGTTGGCTACTGCATAAATTAGTTTGCTCTGGAGCCATCCTTCCTGAGCTCAGACAAAAATGCATGACCTGGAGGCTAAAAAAACCTGTGAGCTAGCTCACACTAACTCAGCTTAGAGGGAACACTGGTCACGCCCAGCCTGGATTGCGCATTCAAACTTTTTCATGACTTTTGCAACGGCTTTGCATTTACATGGCACTTTCTGCATCCTTTCCCCCCCCTCCCCTTACCCACCTATATATCCCTGGCCAATTTCTTCATAACCTCCATGCATCTGACGAAGAGAGCTGTGTTTCTCAAAAGCTTATGCTACAATAAAGTTCGTTAGTCCTAAAGGTGCTACTGAGCTTTTTACTATTTTGCAGCAACAGACTAACACAGGTAACTCCTCTGGATAGGTGGTATACAAAAACATTTTACTTATCTGTGGTGCTACTTGAATGTTTAGAACAGAAAACATGGAGTAACCACTTTACGCACTGTCCCCAGTGATTTTGTCAAGTTCTCTTTACCTCTGTCTGTGCTCCCCAAAATACTGCAACTGCTGAAATCTGTATTTAAGAGGAATGAACTTGAACCTAAATGACAGTTATAGGGTTAAGTATTGCCAGAGCTCTGAAGAATTCAGTTAATTACCAAAGCAGCTGTTGAAGAGAGTGTGGTTCCAAAGCATGGCAGCTATTGAATGGAAATGGAGTTTCCTTAGGGACTGAACGGAGATGATTGCCGATTAACCTGAACACGCCAGCTGGAGTGAAATGGAGTTTGATCCCTGTGATGACGCAAGCCGACAACTTCCACAA